TAATATAATTTTTATATTTTTTTTAAATCTTTTTAACTTCTTCGAATTTTATTTTAAAATTTTTAATTTTTTAAATTTTTTTTAGCGTTATTAATTAATTAAATAATTATATTTTTTATTTACTTTAACTATTCTTTTATAAATTTATTATTTTTAAAATTAATCTTTATTAATAAAATATTTTTAACTAAAATCTTTTTACTACTAAATAACTAAAAAGATATAGCATTATTTTAAATCTAAATATAATTTAACTTATATAGACTAGTAATTAATATATTATATCTAAAATTTTATTATTAAATGTAAAACTAATTAATAGACTATATTTTAAGAGTTATTAATTTAAAGTTAATCCTCGACTTCTATTATTATTAAATTATAGTCTAGATAAAATAGAAATTATTTTAAAACTACTATTAATATTAAACTACCGTCGATACTAAACTACTGTTATTATAGAAATATAGTTAATATAAGACTACCGTCGATACTAGACTACTATTATTATAAAAATATAGTTAATATAAGACTATTGTTAATATTAGACTTAAATTCAAAGAACTAGGTCTATTAAATATATATATCCAATAATTTAAGAGAATATAAATAAATTAAAATTAATTATACTACTAAAAGTAATTCAATAATAATAATCTTAATTAATCACAAAAAACTAAATTAAATATATAAAATAAATATCTTTATATATCTTTTCTTATAATATTACTACTACAACTTCTTATATTAATAATATAATATATTTTATTAGTACTACGAGCTCGTTATATTACTAATATATTTAATTATGTTACTACTATAATATATATAATTTATTATAATAGCTAATATTAATATTAGTAATCCTTTCTAAATAACTATTAAATAAACAATTTATTAGGTACCTTTTACTTAGGAATTAGCTATTATTATTCTATCATTATTCTGCCTTGTATATCCGCCTTTGATAAGGTGCACTAGACAAGGGTCTATAACACCCAGATACGAGGTATATATATATCTCCCAGGTACTAGGGTATAGGATATACTATACAGTCACCTTATATAATTGTTATCAATTCTGTGACATAATTAATATACTTATAATATTATTAAATAGCTAATAGCCTTTTTATAATATATATAGTATATTTAATATTTAATATCTTTATATTATATTATTATATAATAAAATTAATAATATTATTATAATTATAATCCCGTTTGATTTTATAAATATAAATAATATAAATAATATATTTTTACTATTTTTAATAGATATTATTATTATTATTAAACTCTCGCTATTTTAAATAATTTATAATATTACTAGATATATATATATAATAGTATATTAATTATATTAAATAATAATCCTCTGTAGATAAAATAATACTGAGAGTTACTTGGGTCTATTAATAGTTATTGTGGATCTTTTATATTTATTATAATAATTAGATTTATTTGATAAAAAATCTATAGAAGGAAATTGGGAAGAAAGATAAAGAGATATAAAAAGAGAGATTTTAATTAATTAATTAATTAATCAATTTGCAAGATTAATTTTTAATAAAAAGGCTAGCTATCCGTGCCGCTAGATTAGATAATAAGAGATAATAAATAGAGACGACAGTGAATATATTGCCACGCACTTTTAACCGCAGGAAATACGGGAGAACACGAGAAGTCGACCAATCCGCGGGTGCGGATGCGGAATGAAGGCGCATCCCTGGCGGACTAGGGTGTAGAAAAGTTGTGCCTTGGAGGTCATGGATAATGTTTCTTGATACGACAGTAGCCTTGTGCTCGCGCTGGTACTTGGCAAGAAACGAGAGATATGGCAGAGATCTGCAGCCCCTGGATCTGTAGAGCACTGCCATCGCCGCGAGGGGCTAGCCTATAGGGGTACGGGGTGTTTTGCCTTCCAATGTCAATCCAGCTTCATAATTGTTTTCTCCCTTGCCCTTTTTGGATGGGTCTGGACGGAGAAATATGGCTCGGATACTCTCATTCGACACCTGGTTGGCGTTCGTAGTGGGGTCCGGGGGATCAAGCTACCTTCGTGATCATAGAGGAACTTTCCCACCTCAAGATGGCCATTCTGCGACGCCAACATAATCGGAGTGCGTCCGATTCCTACTTCTCACCTCGCTGATCTCGACCATCCCCTCAGCTGTCAGTTCTCTGGTGACCACAGTCACTCATCATGTTTGATCGTTCACACAGTCGACCTCTAGATTGTAATGCTGCAGTGCCTTGCGGATTTGCCCCGCAGCAAAATATTACCATTGATGCCGACAGGAGGCTGAGCTTTACCCAGACTTGCTAGCGCCTTTTGGCAATCCACGTCATCAGCTAGCACCCGATATGATGACCTCATTGGCGCCACGTTTCCCCCACCCATGCAGCTGTTGGTCTTCGCTGACCCTCCAGCCTGATACACTGCTCAGCCTGATATGCTTTATTGAATGCAATTGCTTTTCATGCATGACCCTAACCGAAAACTAAAAGGCCCACCACTGCTCAGTTATCTCTGTGCAACAGCGAATTTTCTCTCGAATGTTGCTGGCCAAGGCTGAACATGCGTAATATTTGCCTACCTTCAAAGCAGCCTTGTCTCATCATTTACCCGGGTTGGGCTGATGGTCATGGTCCAGAAATATTGGGTCGATTGTCACTTTTCTTCGCATTGCCTATTTTAGGTACAGTGCAAAATCTCCCTGCGATATATATATATAGCAAACAAAACACCAGGGCTGCGGATTCTTACCTCAATAGACTCATAGATTTATGGGTTTCTGAGATACGCGACAGAAGATATGTCAGTCCCTTTTGGATTCTCAGCTGGTGACCTTGTCGGTATGTTCTGGACAATAAGCCACTAGGTTCTTGTCACTAATTAATCTATAGCGGGTCTTAAACTCTTGAAAGATGTCATGGATGCCCTCGGAACTACTTGTAAAGCCCAGAAAGAATACGATGTTTTGATATCAATCATCAACAGCCTGAACCCTCTGTTGACTGAAGCCCAGGCACTGCAGATGGGACAATTCTGGGAAGAAGAAACTAAGATCTTCAGGAAAATTGCGACTAATATTGAAACCTTCGTGGCAAACTTTGTTGAGTCTATTGCGAGATTCGATGGAAAACTAGCTGCCGAGACACCAAACTGGGTAGCAAGAGTGGGTGCGGCTTGCCGGAAAGTCGAATGGACATTCTTGAAGCCTCTTGTGCAGGACTTCATTTGCCAGCTTAATACTCACGTTCTTATCTTGAGCGCTACATTTAGCATGCTACAACTGTATGTTGGCGCTTTATTGGGTACTTCCTTACTTTGGAGGCCTTCCTCCCGTAAATACCACATCGAGTTGCTGATGTCTTTGTCGCAGAAAGTTGGCTAGCAAACCCTTAGATACGCGAGACGACAGCCTATCGTCTCATCCATTCAAGTGTACATACCAGCAAACATGCGACACAGAAAGGTATTTTATGAACAAAGGTATCTATGTTTATCTTAAGTGTGACTAACTACTTAAGTACATCGTTAAATTTGGCTATAAAACCACCTTGCAGAGAGGAATTAGCACCAGTGATGAACGATGAATCAATGAATGGTGAAGGTACAGTGGAATCTGGGCCTTACACAGTACATGGTGAGATAAAGCACAATAATCTTTTTTTTTTAGGCTTTTATTGACTCGTATACCCAGTCGACAATGTTGGTTCATTGCCAGGACCCGATAATTACTTATCATGGTCAATTACAAAATCCGACTGGCTCGCATTTGATTGTGTCTCGCCCAATTTGCACAAAGTCTCACGACGAAAAAACAACTCTTTGCCTATTAGGAATCCTGCCGATGGGTCTACGAAAATATTTTATAAGCCAACAGGAACTGCTAACCAATCCTTGTTGGGTCATGAATTGGAACCATTCTTCACCATCCCGGGGCCTAGCAGAAAGCCAATACCTATCAAAAATCCACTCGATGGCTCTATGGTATTGTTTGAGAAAGATATCATATGCTCAAGGAATCAGGATTTATGTATTGGATCTTCCGACGTCATTTCCCAGGGTTTTACCCGACCCACTCGGGCGAAGGTGGTAGTCAAAGATCCGTCAGATATGCGTATTCTCAACCTGTCCCAAGTATATTTATGATACTTATGAGTGCAATTCCATGCTAGAACTATGATATCTTGATATCAAGCCTAACATGTCACACACCATGGCTTGAATTTGATGGGCCGTATCGGTCATGTCATTGGAGATACGCTGCTTCTTCCACTCCTGGCCAGGTGCATAAGCCTCGGTCAACACAGACGAAAGAATCCGGTGTCTGTCGTTCCGATATTCTGGCTTCCGTGCTTGCAGTATATAACTTGAGTGGAACCCTTGGGTGACCTGATTGTGCGACCCTCAAATGGTACTCTTTTGGCTGTCTGGCTCATAGCACGGTGAACTGTTGATGAAAGTGCCTTCACTGGAGGATTTTGTTTGGAGGCAGTCTAAGCACGACGTTGATGATTGGCAATAAAATGGGCCAACACCCCATTAGCAAGGTATTACCTAGACAACTTGGGTCTAATCGATCTTTCATAGATTGACCAACGAGAAGATAATGAACGTCGATTTAGAGTATCACCCAGCGTTATTGAGCAGCAGCTTAGCAAACATAGAGACCATGTCACTCTTGCACTTTGGGCAACCCATCCATAAATTCTCGTCCATGGAGTGTTGTAGCCATAGCGGACAAACGCTGCTGCCAAGGTCCAGCTTCGACGAGTGTTGCAGCTCTTGAGAGGATGTTCGTCCACCTTGTCTTCCCTCAGGTGATTCAGCAGCACTCGAATATGTTGTCATCGCCGATACCTGAGTACTATTTCCATCATCCTTGCACTCTACCCATATACTATCACTTGTTGACGGGTTCTCAACGTTGAATGAATCCTGACTAAAGCTCTGATCCGGTGCAGTATCATTGCTCGCCGGGATCCCTCCGTCATTCAACATGGTTGATCTCTTCCTAGACGTCTCCAAACCGGCCATAGCTTGTATAGAAGACATCCGCTCATAATAGGCGTTTTCTATCACTTTTCGGAGAAATTTATCGAAATCAAGGGCTTCGCCAAAACCTTCAAAGAATTCCTCTCGCTGGAACATTTCTTCCTCTGCCTCAAAGCTTGCCAAAATCTTAGAGGTGAAATACGCAGCAAACCAGGTATCGTGAGTTATCCTTGGAAAAGTCTCTCGTGCAAGCACTATTATATGAGAGATCGAGACGTCGTCATCAAATAGTTGGATATATTTCTTCTCATGGTCAGCTAGCCCGTCAAGACCGTAACTCACAGCGGCCCTGTACGCGAGAACACTCCTTATATACTCCACCTCCCCTGTTGGCAAATTGGGTTCTGAAAACACCTTCAGGGTTTGGTAGTCGCCTGTATAAAGGTAATGTATGAATGTATGCCCAATATCACTGTCCACACCTGGAAGATCCACTGTTTTGCTTTCCAACCCAGCCAAACGCAGTTTGAGAGATGGGACACGATTAGCAATACCCAAGGGCACAGTGTACTGCTTCTCACTACGCCCAAGAAGAATAGTAGTCGCCTGGGACTTATACAAGCTATGGTCGACGAGATTAGTTCTATATGACAGATAATTCATCTAGGCAAGCGCCTTACCTGGCGTAGGGCTGAATGAGTCCCATATCTTCAGAATTGCCAGCAGTCTCAGTACCTTCCGGTTTGCCAACCTCTACGAGATTGCATCTTCAATAGGAAGGGGCTCGGTAATACAACGGCTTCAACCGTTGCAGCAGAGTCGTTTGGCTCTTCAGAAACAAAAGGCTCAGGAGATGGAATAAATTCGTCTCTTTTCGGCTCAGAAGGAAAAGTGTATCCACTGGATGCAACCACCTCTGGCTCTTCAGCAGCAGCAGGCTCAGAACTTTGCACATCGACCTCTGGCATAGGCTCGAGGTTTGTGGCAATATCATCGGAGAAACCCGCTATGTCACTTCCCAGGGACGCGGGAATGGTGCTCGCTGTTACCCTCCTTGCTGCTGCCTTGTGTTTCTTGAGGGGCATGATCATCGGTATCGACTCAAGGATCTGCAAATGGGAATTGGTGTGTGTCTGAGCAGGAAGAGGACGATATTGGGCAAGGAGGCAAGTGGAGGAAATTGTTCACATATAAGTCGTAGCGTCGATGCATCAGGACCTCAGGGTCGTGACGTATGTGGCTCAGATAATGACCATTACAGAAAGGGGGCAAAGACAACAGACCTTCACCCATGAGTAGAACATTAACAGCGTGCTGATAGAATGGCACCAAGATAAGGAAGCGCTTACAAATTTAAATCTCAATGCAATTGTCCTTCAAGTGGCCGGGGCCTCGAAGGGCAGCGGCGTATATCGTTCCGATATCAGCCCCTATTCAATTTAACCTGCACAAGCATGGCCAGCTCTGTGGGTAACCATGGCCTCAGACCACCCAGCGCACGTCACTTATAAAATTCCCAACTTCCCGGCAATGTGATGCAATTTTTAGCTTCCAAATCCCATGCCGGACAGCGGGCCCCCTGTTTTCAACTGAGCTCAACCAGGCACGAGATAGATACATAATGGTGACGAGGACCATGCTCTAAAAATGCTCTTTGAGATCATAGATGGTCATTGCGTATCGGTGAGAAATCTTAAATTAGTTAGTCCAAAGTTCAAAAATGTCAATATTGCAGAACAATTATTGAAACCTCCCTGGTGATTGGCTTTCGTCATCACTTCACAATGAACCCCAGACAGAACCATTGATAGCTGCTACCCACAGTTATCGGCTTACTTTAAGTCATTTACTTACAGCAGTCCCTCCTACATTAGATGCACTGTCCACGCTCGCGCGAGTTCAAAATGCTATATCATCTACTAGATTTTTCCCGCTCTTTTAAGTAACTGGAAGGCTCTTAAACCTAAAGACGCCTAATATTTTTTTTATACATTGCCATAGTAGCATATACTATTAATACTATTAAAATATACTATTAAGAGATTAAGGACTACTATAGTAAAGTTCTCGGTTCTATCTTAGGTAAAGATAAGATAAAATAGTAAAACCAGTTTACCTAAGAACTAGTCTACTACTCTATTACTAAGAAGCTAGTAGTTTACCTCTAGTAAAAGAAAAAGCTTATTAATAATTAAACTATAATACATAAAGACTATAATAAGTATTTATTAATAATTAACCCTAGAGTCCTTTTTTTAATATAGTTTATTAATATTTTAAGTTAGGTCAAAGAGCAGCTAAAGACATTCTAGAATATGAAAATTAATAATCTTGAATTTATACCAACTATTAAAACCTTGATATAGGATTATTCTAAGTATATTAAAAAAAAGAAAAATAAGGTCTTCTAAAGTTAAAAGATACCCTAACTGAGGAGAAAAGCAAATATTTATCTAAATTATTTAGTAAAATAAAGATATTTATACTATTATAATCCCATCCCACTGCTCTTAACAAGCCTCTTTTCAAGACTATGATTCGACTTTTGACTGCCCTAATCGACCATCTGGATAATATTTTCTGTATATGGCCCTACACCTCTGGCATGCCCAATCCCCTCGAAGAAGTAGCCGGCTGGCCGTTCTTCGCACGGCCAGACTTATCTGTATACGGTTTCCACTCCACTAAAGTGGGACGCGCTGCATAGAACATGCCGCCCAAAATCCCTTTCTCAGTAAAAAAAAGGTCTATATCGTGCAGTTTGAACATCGGAAAGAGCTTATATTCTAGAAAAGTCTACCTCACTGGCTTAATTCCGGGCACCCCTGGTGTCGCCTGAAGTGAATTTACCGCTAGTTTATAGGACGGCCTAGTTGAAAATCGATTCTCAATATCACCCTGGAAGAGTTTATCAAGTTGTACCAAGTTGTAAAAAGAAGACACTTCCTTCTGTCTTTCTGCCCGGTGGTCTTCGTGCAATCGCTGCATAGGAAGATCAAGTCCTGATCATACATTCTATTCCAATTCTGGGATAAGAGGTATCCTGACTGGGTTTCCTATCAGCTTATCAGAGAACACGTTTCAAAGATATATTAAAGTTTAATTATGTAAAAGAATAAATTTAGTATAATATTATATAATAGTTAAACTAGTATATTAAAAATTATATACCAAGTAGATTTTAATTAATATTACCTACAGCAATAATAGTAAATATCTATACCTTATAAAGTTCTCCTAGTTAACCGTTAACCGTAACCTTCTTAAAAATACCTGTACTCTATATTCTAGCTAAGCTATTTAAAATACACTAGATATTTACAACATCTCCTACGTTGTGCTTTCTGACTTCCCGGACACTCGTAAAATGTCATTCAAATTCAAATACACTTGTTAATAAGGGGCCGTCTGAACACACATGGTCACAATTGTTAGTTATCATTTCTTAGCCCAGAAGCACAAACGGCAAAATTATCTATTACCACAAGGTTATTCATGGAAGCTTTCTAGCACATTGTGAGGAAATGACATTGGAGGAGGCAAGTTATATATGATCTATAAAATTAAGCCTATCCTCTACTAATGATCAGTCTCCATTCACATGTTTCCTCCATATTAACTGCCTTTAGTTTTAAATACCGATGGAAAGCATTGTGGAAAGAATTTATTTGACTCTGTTTCGAACGTTTCTTACACCCATTGGCCATACCCTGTGGACTAGGACTCGGCTCCTTATATACTACATATAGATACATGGCTGTTATGTCATTAATGCAGTAAATTCCCCTAGTAGAGTAACCTTGAGAAACATAGGCCAGTAAAGCATCCAATTAACAGCAGTTCCAGAACGTTTCTGGCAGAACTTTTCAGCAGTCAATTTCCTTGGTAAAACAAATTGCCATTGCCAGTACATCTGGAAAGGTTCTTAATCGCTTGAGTCTGGGCATACAATAGGATTGCACGTTTCGGTGCTGGTGGAATCGACAAATTTGGCGATCTTGGCATGGAAAACAAGTGAGTATGGCCCGCCATTGCTGCATGTGTAACTGCTTGACCAGCCACTACCTGAAGCGGGTGTTAAACAACCAGAGTTCTTTGTGAATTTGCCAGGGACACAAGCATCCCCAGTTTTTGGAGGAGTTGTATGTTGGAGTTGAGCGCCTCCACAAATCACATCAGCATGTCCTTCAATGACTCCATAATCGGACCCGACGTTGTAGACCCAGCTAACAGTGTTGCCGCTAATGGTGACGTCCACAGTGCCGATAACTGTAGTTTGGCCCAGTACCAGATCAGCGGAGAAGCCGCTCGTCACACCCTTGAAATACCAGCCCCAGTGCCCACACCCAAGGTCAGTAAGAGAATTGCTCGACCGGGCGTACGCGCTACCGACAGCGCAGGGCTTCTTAGATGTCGCGGGTGGAGGGCAGCAGCACTGTGTCTGGCAGGTAGTTGTGTCCTGACACGAGAACGTGATCGGAATATATTGGAAGAAGCTGCCCGTCCCAGTTAGAGTACCTCCCGTAATTGAGCATGTAGCCGAGGAAATGTCCACATTCAATGCAAGGTTCATATTGGCGTGACATAAATCAGAAGGAGGCGGAGAGATTTGTGATTCGAGGTAGCTGAAGGGTACAAAACACTCAACGGTAGATGCCGTTGGCTGGTCGCACCATGACGCATGGTTATGGGTAATATCGTATAGCCCAGGGGCACCGGAAATTGGACCGTCGTCAATAGCAAGGTGGTAGTTAGTGAGAGGCTGTTCTACATTATTGTTATCGAAGATCGGACCGGCCGAAACCTTCAAGCAATCCTCAGTCGATGTACTCAATGCGGGGAAGGTATTGCATTTAACAATCTCAAACTTTGCGGTAGACGAGTCCAATTTGTCCGTGTTGGGATCAAAACCATTCCCACACTGTATGGGTCCACTTCCCGGAGCAACAGTTGTCACCTTAAGTTGTCACCTGTTTCTCACAACACTGAATTGAGGTAGGGCAAGCTGCATCACGGGTAAACAGACCTCGGTGGGATGTTCGCTTAGTAGGGGGGGCTCCTGGGATCGGGAAGCCACCAGAGGCACAGCACTGTACTGCATCACCACCTGCAGTACAGGTATCAAGCCCAGAAACTATAACGGCAGCAAAAAGGAATGAAAGCTTTGTAATCAAAAGAAATTTGAAGCCCATCTTGTTGAATGTACCTGAGGGATGGATATCATAGAACACTCGGGAAGAAAGATTTAGAAGGTAAGTCCTAATTGTTGGCCCTGCTGGAAGGTAGTAAGAGGGGAATTATATATGTTGCTGTTAACCGGTGTTTTGCAATGATGAGCCACTGATACTCTAGAAATACAGCTAAAGCTGCAATATCACGCCACATATGGCTGCATGATCTCACGACTTAAGACTCGTAGTAAACAGATTGGAAAGAAAACCTAAACTTGCTATGCCTTGACTAGAGACAGGCAGCCACTAGTGTCACTATCCTATGGAAATGGATAGATAGCTAGGGTCTTATGACCGGAAAAGTTAAAGCCAGGAGTAGAGGTTGGTCTGTGGCCATATAAAGAGTGAGCGGAATGGGCCCAGCCCTCTTGTAGATGTGGTGTTCGGCCTGGCTAGATATTATTCTTCTTTCTGAGATGTCTTAGTCTAGATAGGCCTATAACTAGATAAATAGCGCTAGGCTCTATACAAAGCTTATGTTAAGGCTTAATCTACACTTGCAGAAGCTTTATTACTTCTAGCCTCTTTAGATATATAAAGGCCTTTCAACGAGAAAATATAATTTCACTAGGTAGTAGGGTAACCCTACTCACGCATACTATATGCTCCATGCAATATTGCTAACAGGAAGATCCCTGTACATAGAACAGGTGGGGGGTATAGGGTTGGCTTAGTTGTGGGTTTATTTGATATGGTTAGAGAATGGCATGAGATTTGCTTGATTGAATGTAAGTTTTCGACTTCGTATGACTTCTGATCTTGGCGCATGAAACAAAGGACTGGAAGGTCCGATTGTTAGGTTCACACTCCTTGTGGCAACATTTGTTCCGGAAACGGTTCAGTGGATTAAGTTGCGGCTGTTAAAGCCGTTTGGGGATGCCTCTCCCGTGGGAGCTATGTTACTCTAGATCGAGCTATAGTCTAATAGAACCGGGGATCAGTGAATCCAGCACAGGACTAGATCCAAATCACACGATTGTATCCAGTTATGGTAACGGGGTGGCAACAGGCGGCGATATCTTACATCACGGCTTAATTTTCTGTTTCTGCCAACCGATCGCACCTAGATTATCTTTCTGTTTATAAAGGCTACTAGGGGCAGTATGATATATTTGAAATATTATATCTTTAAATGGATGGAATATAAGATGATTCTCCAAAGAGCTTCGGTGGCACGGCTTATGCCCAGACTCTCCCGGAACAACTTGAAATCTGTCTATTCCCTTTGAAGCCCGTAGCCTGGGAGCAAAACGAGATACCAGTATGCTGGAAAGGTGTTATAGGGGATCTCTCAACGATCATGGATTATTGACGTCATAAGGTCAACTTAGGAGCGCAATTCCGTGGTGCGATTTCCCCGATGGGACAAGTCTGTCGATAGATCGAGTGCGCATTCAAATCGCCCACGCACATCCACACACAAAAAGGGTCTTGGAAATTAGCTGGATGGGGGCCCAATGAGATGGTGATAAATTTTAACTTTTCTACCTGGGGTACTGCCTGCCAGTCTAGAAGAGAATACTGTATCAAGACAATAGCTGTGCACGAGTTCGGTCATTTCCTTGGTTTCTCTCACGGGAATAATCGTCCAGATACACCACGCAACATCTGCACCGAAGAACCACAAGGAAATCATTGGACATTTCATGGTGATAGCGTGGGACCTTCCCTCCGTGATGAACTAGTGCAAACCCACTGGAGCGAGGATAACCGCACTTGTTAGTGAAATTGAACAAAACATTTGTAGTACCCCTTAACTCATTTCCCCAAGGTGTATGCACATCTCCAAACTAACTTATTTGGAAATCAGCAAGCAGTAATTCGCTCTGTACTCGACAATCTGCCGTGGCATGTTAAAAGAATAAATGGATATATAGGGTTTCAGGAAGGCTTGGAGTTTAATAGACTGGACACACTGATCTTGTTCATACATTTCGTGGAAAACACGAGCCTGCGTTTGCAAAGACGTCTTTACCAGACTTTGGCAACATCATAGAGTGGATGATGCAGATACTTCTTTCAATCGGCCAGGAGCGCTTACGGTGAATATGGGCAAGTTCAAGGCAATGGACAACAACCAGGAAAGCGGAACCTCTGGATTGAGCTGTCACGGAGTGTCTGGCCTGACACCACACGAGATCCTGTAGCGGTGAAGGACGCGCAGCAAATTCTCCAGAAACTATGTGAAGCACACGATGTGAAACATAGAGCGTTGCGGCAGACAGTTCACTCGTATAGGGTTAGAGTAGATAAGCTGCTTGATACTCGAGAAAGACTCGAGACAACAAGCGGCTGAATCTAATGATATTGATCTGGTCAGTTGCCAAGGTTATTTGGATGGTAGCAGTTTCGATACCTTGAACTTAACCGAGCCAGATCTGGGGCACATAGCGTGTGCCAAACTACCTTAAGTTCTTCACGCATTTGTTCGAACCCTATATTCCAGTACAATAATAGCCTCTGATACCATTTCTATATGTTAATTCCATTCGTGGTGGGGCGGCGAAAGCAAAATACTATTTAGGAATTCGCTAGAGTGACATGACCATCGATGCTCACTGGATTAAATATACGCGTGAACACCCTTTCCCTGGAATTCACTGCCACTGATATGCCCAAGCGGTTTACTGAGCTCAATTCACAATCTACCTCCTTTTGGCCGAATCGGTAACGGGTGACATGATATCACTGCCAGTCGCCTACTTCTTATGCAGTGGCTCTTATACAACCGGGATTGATCTAGCCGTCACTGGGAGCTTTGTACAATGGTTGAATTGAATTACAGCTGGATTCAATTAATACTTAGAGGTCTGTGAGTGCTAATGAAATCGGATCTCCTGCTCGAGGAGACAGACTCAACTATCCTGCTCTGTCAGGATAACGTGGTAGTAGCCTCATAAATCAGCTATACCAAAAGCAACCATTATCGACGAGAGCAGAGGATGCCGTACCTTCCGCCGTGATCCACACCCTTTAATCCATCTTGAAAATTATTACCCGTAAGTATCTAGTAAGGCACTCATTTCTACCACCTATTCCTGCACAAGCAGTACCACCCAGGATTATCCGAACAACAGGTCCCATCTACTCATCATCGTGGAGATCGACGACCGTCTCCTTCCATTTGCGAGCCGGGACATGACGCCGGAACAGAATGTCAATCTCACGGAAGGACCTGTTCTTCATCTCTGGAACCCAGATCCAAGCCATGGTGGTGCAGATAAAGGCGGTGCCAGCCCAGACGTAGCCGCTCTTGCCACCCAGGTGCCACTTATCATCGTTGAGCATGTAGCTGGAAAGGAATATGCAAGGAATATTGACCAAGTAGTAGGCACCTCGTCCAACACCCGTTGTCAGTGGCCTGAGACGAACGGAAGCTGTCTCACCGATGATGACCCATGAGGCAGGGGCGGGTCCCAAGCAGAACAGGACCGAGACGATCAAGCCAAGTGATGCTTGCGCATTGCTAGCTGCGGTACTACTGCCAACTGAAGCCGCAATACCGAGAGCGACCAAGAATGCACAATTGATGAATTGACCATAGACATAGATGGTGCGTCGACCCAGGTAAGAGGTGAGGATCCAAGAGAGCATGACCATGATCATCTGGAGGGCAGAAGTGATGAGACCAAGTGCAAAGGCGGTGTTGTCTGCCATGCCGGCCTCTGAGCTGGTGTTAGTCTGGTATGACTTTGGACGACAAGGCTGGACTTACGTTTGAAAAAGTACACCGCTTGGTTTGCAATCAGATTGCCTGTCAGATTCTGAGATGCGTATACACCGCACACAATCAATGTGCGGTAGAGATCGGTGCCCTTCCACAGTTCAATGAGATTGGGCTTCTTCTCAGTTGCCTCGAGTTCGATCGTGCGACGCATCATTGCCACTGCGGCAGCCGGATTATCAGTTGCACTCGCGCGTCCAAGTCGTTTGACAGCCTTCTCAGCCTCGGCCAGACGGCCTTTTCGGACGAGCCACCAAGGGGATTCAGGCGCAATGAAGAGTAAGATAGCGAGGGGGGTAGGGAACATCCACTGGAGTGCAATGGGAACCCTAGGACGACTGTTAGTACGGTGCTCTTCGATGGCATCCATGCGACCAGACGAACCTGTACGCTGACGAGTCAGACTTGGATTGGTAGTGATATGTGATCCCGCCGACTATGATCGACCCAATTGCCCAGAACATCTGCAACATCTGCGTCGCGGGAGCTCTCAATCTCATTGGCACGATCTCAGCACAGTAGGCGGGTGCATTAGCGATAAAAATGCCCCACGGGATGCCTTCCATGATCTGAGACGCGAAAAACATCCCCTGGCTGTTGCCGAAATAGAAGATGAGGATGAAGGCGTTCAAGGCCATGAGACCGCCGATAGTTGCCCATCGATATCCAATCCAACTGGTAATGGGACCTGCGATGAATACACCTATGATGCAACCGATTGGCCCGCTACACTGGAATGCTGACTGCCATGAAGCTTCGATAATCCATGTATTTGTTTTTTCGCTGTATACACCAAAGTCCTCGGCAAATTTCTTTGTGGCGATGAACTGACCCATTAGGAAAACACAGTATGACTCCAGGATCTATCGCATATGTCAGGAAAATGATCTGCCTATCATTGGGTAAGAGCTTACAATAGTACATGACATCACGAAGGCCCACCAGCTGGCAGCGGGATAGGCCATGACAGCCTGGGGCACAGTCATATTATGTTCGACCTGCTCGGCCTCCAGAGCGCCGACTCTGTCGTAGTCGACCTTCTTGTCGACATCGTAAACAGGCCCGGGGTTGGAGGTGGGCTGCGCCTCAACCTCCGACGCTGCGGTCTGTTTCTCTGTGTCAGTATCCATGTCGACGATTTCTGGGAGAAACGGGTGGAATGAAAGAGATGCAGGCACGACTGGGAGTTTTAGATCTTTATACCTGCGACAATAGCCTCGTGATGGTGATCCCGATCTTAGCTCAATTGAGTGAAGCTTGCTCCGGACCTTGACCTCCTCAAGCCAATCTCTTCAATCATGAGGGTCATTTTTCCTGGCACTACGGTAGCCGCGTCGCTTGATTATGCTTGGGCCCCTAGATATTAGCCGGGAGGAAATGTACTGGTTCCTTTGCGGGTCCGCTGAACTTAAGCATATTGGTGGCGTTCTACTCGCCGGAGAATTCCTGCATTGGGTTGTAGGGGGAAGAGTCCACAATCCCCCTTTCAGTTAGTGCGAGTCATCCGACCCTCCTGATTCCCTACCAAGTGGGTTCAACTCTGCTTGTGCCTATCATCATGAGCGACTCAATTTAACCCGGGAGCTGGGTGAGGATAAGCGCTAATTCTTAGTTGGCGCTGTGCTTGACTCCGGGTATCGAGTACGGAGGGCACATGTTCAGCAAACGTGACCCATTCAGAACGTCGTCAAACGCTGGCCTCCGAACATGGTCGCATGCTCATGATGCTTGATCCCTTTATCTCTATTGAACACCATTCTCACTGGGGGGCAATTGGACGTGCAGGATCCAAGATAAACATTCTCGATCTTGGACAGTTGGCCACGGCTCGGGTCATCTCATTTGCGGGCTAGGGCTCGGTCAGCTTTACCCCGGACGGACACTACCCCGCGCCATGTCCCCGGAAGGATTCTAAATATCCTCCAATGGAGAAAAGGAGAAAAACCTAAAATTGGATACTGCAAAATGTGGAATTCCCGGAGACGGAGCCATACAGTTTGGATGGATGGATATGCAGCCTACCATAACTATATATCAACGTATGTACACGTGTCGTCTAACACGTCTTACACGAACTTAAAGCCTCGCTGTGGCCTGGCGCGCCTTATACTGCTATTTTTGGGTTGCTGCCCTCATGGCGCACGATTTCGGAACTGTTAGGATGTTTCAGCAAAGTCCTCCACCGTCTTGGCTCGCAGAGCAGTATCGCGCATACTCCCCCCTCTTCCTCCATATGCTTCCAGTAGGGCTAAAACACTATTGAATACGCTTCCAATCTTTTCTCGGGATTATTAAGCAAACTACGACGCCGTGGGTATTGGTGTTCGTAACTGCACGTAGGTGTTACAGACCCTTGTCTAGTGTACCTTCACAATCATATGTTAGATTATATATATTACTAAATTAAGTATCAAGCCGCCCGAGCGAAGCAAGGGACCATGGCTTGTATATTTATATATATGGATCTATAACTGCAAAGAATTAGTACTATATATACTACTTCTATATATTAATCAGAGCAGGGTACTTGAAAAATAGATTCCATAGGTTGGTATAATATTTGCCCTAGAATCCTATACTTACCCTGTTCGGTTTACAATTTCCTGTTCATGTACTAGAGCGTTGGCCGAAGCACGAGACGAACCAGGGGCACCCACGAATCCGGGATGGGCAAAGCCATCGAACTCCGCACAGGATGGTTTCACCGAGGCAGCAGCCTTGGTTGAAGGCTGGTAGCATTTCTCAGGGCTCGCCGCTTTGCCCTTCACACCCATGGCGCTGATTCCCATGGTGAGGTAGTCGGCAAATCGATCCCCGTACTTGATGTGCCGCTTGGGCCTGGTATCGTAGATGTTACTGACCAGGAGCGGTTTGCCGTGTTTATCCAATCGGTCCTTTGGGACCTCGTCTGGATCTGAAGGCCGTGTTTGGTGCTGATGTCGCCCCGCTGCCACTGGAACACCTCTTTCGGTCTCTCAATCGGCTTCAGATCTTTAGGGTCAGGTAGGGCGTGGTCCGATGTGCTGTTGATGTCAAACTGAAAGTTGCCCGTGTCGAAGTTGCGGATGTCAAGCGCAGCTGGCTCAGCAACGATGAGGCTTGCACCTTTGCGACCCAAGCCGTTGATTGCCTTTCCGATCTGTGGCCACCATGTTCAGCAAACCTCCGACTTGAAACCCACACTAAACAAAACAGGGGAGTGCCTTACACTTGGATCGGAATTTCTGCCTGGGTTGCCGTATTTGGAGCAATTGTTCAGGTCGTCCTTGTCTTCGATGACGTTACCTTGATCATCCTTGCGGATCACCATGGCCTGCGCGCCGATATCAATCTCGGCTGAGAGGGTGTTGTTCGGCCAGACAAGATGGGCAATGGTGCCCGTCGTACTGACTAAATTCCACTGATTCCCAGGATTGTAGACTTCGCTATTGGTCATAGGGTCGGTGAGGAAAAAGTCGCTGTCACTCATTTGGCTGGCAAAGCCCGAGTTGAGATCTCTGATCAGCTTGAGAAAGTCGCCTTTCTGGTAACTAGCAAGAAATTACCAATACTGTTTCAACGTTAGTGATCTTAACAGCACCGAGCGAGATGCACCATGACGCACATACTTCTGGCCCCTCCGCACTAAAGGTCACACGGTAAATATCTCCACTGTATTTTCGGGGACCCCGGCTCACCGACCACTCCAGATACTCGTCCTGGACCACCCGGGACGAGTCAGCAACTTGCCACCACAGAGGCTCCCCTGGGTATGAACTTTTAATCTGTCCCATAGTTAGACACGCTAGGAATTGTGTCAGATTTAGAGGAGGTTCTAGCTGACCAGATTAGGAAATGCATTCCATTCGACCGGTAGCGGTTTGTCCTGTTGATTAAACGGTGTGACAGTCCCATCAAAGAATTGGGTCAAAGGTGTACGGCCAGCACCGACAACGCGAGGATCAGCCTTGATTTCACCCTGCATCCAATGGGAAATATAGTCCTTAGACCATTTATCCTTGTTATCGCCGGTAAGGTCAGACAGGTTGCCTGGTGGCTCGTGCCGGGTGGGGTGGTCATGATGTTTTCGTAGCTGATGGTTCTTGATTGAGAATGAAAGGTAAATGTGCGCTCGCAACTATCTATAGGCCATCACTGTGTCTAATATGGTGGATCAGGGACTCTTTTCGAATCCGAAGCGTGCTGAATTTGTCACTGTACAGACCTCGACTTTCCCTGCCGGGTCTCGTCGGGGTCTGGCATGGGTCAATTTCCCGAGACTCAGGCAGAGTACATGATGAGACGCTCGAGATGTTGCTTCAACACATAACAGCTGTCAGATGCTGCATCTTTGCCCGACAGATGAAGCTGATCTCCCTACCCGATCTACCATCGCGTCGCGCCTTGCAAATTGGGCCAATGAAATTTTAGAAAGACCACCACCTGATTCGTAAGCCCATGTCATCACTCTCGATGAGAGCGGTTCTCATTGAACGTGAACACTTTCTGGCGAGAGGGCTAAGGCTTTCCAGTGGCTCAGATGTCGTATAGGAGGAAAAGGCGCAGCTGAATGGGCGTGCAGGGTTTGCCAAAAACCACTCATGCATGTTATTGTAACGGGCAACCCATTAGCATATCAAGCCCAGTTACAACTCAGCTTATACACAATTGCCTTCTTGGGCTGGCTTTCGAAAATTATCAGCTGAAATCGGAAGGAAAAAGGAAAAAAAGAAAGGAAAAGTCTCACACGAACTGAAGGCAACTTTGCATACACTGCATGCCTACTTGTTCACTGGATAAAGCAACTAATTACCACTCATCAATTGATTCTACCAACACTTGGGTGGCTGGAAACTTACAGGTGATGAGGGTAATTGTACCCTCAGGCATTGGCCGTGACAGATGTTGCGCGAAAGCTGAGAATGAATATGGCCAGAACTGAAGGCAATCTTGGATATACTGTGTACTTGTTCACGGGATAGAACAACTCATCACCCCTGGCTGAGGTTGATCGACTACCTTGCCCCATATGGTCATACTCACCGCAAGCCGATTCATGGAGTGGAAGAACATGCGTATATATCCCCGATGAACGTCTTCAAATGTAACCACAGAGCATTCGTCAGACATCCTCCCTCCTCTCAGTCCGTCTCTGGAAATGGCCACACCAGAAATCAGGCATCGCCAGTTCACTCGAGTCTCTAACCCAGACACAGATACCTTGATAACGATCCAGCAGCAGCAGCAGATGCTGAAAGACAGATTTGGACAATTCCTGCAGCAGGACTCACATTGGACGCTCAATACACTTGATGGGGTACTTTCCTACTACTTCAGTGTGTTTTAGCTCTGCCGCCATCTTACGGAGATGATTTGCCCACTCTATATTCACTATTTCTAGAGTTGTGTAATACCCCTGCCAAATGCAATCTGAGCATGTTCATGATTGCAGATGGTGCTCATGTTGACCGATCGAAGTTACAATAAAGGCAATTGCTGGTTCAATCCCCACTGCCGTATATTCGGAGTAGTGGACTTCAAGACCCAAACAAATGATGTAATCTTCATAGTGGGGTCAGACGAGGTGCACAGTCCGGATCGCTTCCTGCAAATTGCCTCGTGGAATGGAAAGGCCTTTTATTACTACGCTGTAGGGGAGGCATTACCCCCCGTTCTGAGGATCAGCGCTTAACCACGGTCATAGGTTGAAGATATTAACGGTAATCCAAAGAACAGAAAATGGACGTATCAAGCAAACTCGTTCAATGCGTTCACAGATGAATCAGATTACGACATGTCGTATCTTGGTCCCTTCCATGGTCATGTTAATGGAGCATGCATTATGAAAGAGATTCATAGGTGACTGTCATATTCCTGGGTAACAGTTTCTTAGCGGTAACTGATGAGGTTGTGTAGGCCTTGGTACCACTGGAAGTCACGCGGGACCGACATAACGCAATGCCTGAGTGATGAGCAGCTGAAGCTTTTCACAGAACTCGACTATCTCACCCCCGCGCAATGGAATCCCCTAGGTGGACTAGGGAGTGCCGAGCAGCTCGAGCAAGACATTATAACGGGTTTGATCTACAGCTGGTTTCAGCAGCGCTGTGAGAATGACTTCAAAAAGACTGATGGACAGTATAAGCCGGAGCCAGCCAATGTTCATCGCTGGATGGCTCATTTGCTCCTCACGACCACCATTAATATCGCGACCGTTCTAAAGTGGTTGCCTTTGCCACCACAGAAGATAACAAAGTCTAACCAGCAGGGAGCTTGCCTTTACGAGCCCCCCCTTGATCTATTTATGAACTCTGAGCTCTTGCTCCAGGACACATTCTCAGATTTCAACGTATGTTTCTCCGGTTTTCCTATAATTTGCCAATTACTCCCTACTGACAGACGCAAGCCAGCGTCCCCTAGCCGACTTCTCGCCCGAGTTAAGGTATGACGACTATCAAAGCGCCATTAAGAACTGGCGCCTGAGTCTGTTGCAGGAATGGCCTTCCGAAGCTCCAGCACCAAGCAGCGTGCCATTGGTGAAACTTCACGAGGGTACTCTGGGGCGCGGCAAGCAGACAAATTCGTACGACGTCCGAAATTTCCTGCTAGTCCAGGATAACGAGGCCAAAGATATCTACTTTACCACCTGGCAGACCTCTGTCGAAGATGCAACGGGTGTTATGAATCTACCCAACACTCTAGTCAGCCAAAGGCTCCTCTGATCTATTCTTCTCCTGGGCTTCTATAACCCTGTCTATAGCTGGCGTCATGGTGTGTTCATGTAGTATCTCCCTCGCACCAAAAACTGGTCAACGGGAAATACGACATGGAAGCAGCCTTTGTGGCGAACATTCGCGCCTCCTGCCACTCACCTGAGACCGATTCACCCGAATTCCAATTCCTTGCTGTATACGACGAACGCTCGTCACCGTCACCGGACACGGTCAAGTCCCGATTCAAATCCTATTCAAACAAGGTTGAGTACCATATCAATACACCCCGGGGGCTGGCCGATTACATGAAGTTGGCCGAGTCCCGCCGTCGCATCTACCGTCCGCTGCCGCTTGAGGAATTTCGCCTAACCCGACCGTACGCGCTGGGGCTTTCGCCGACATGGCCACTTGTGGAGATGACCGAACATGCGACGGTAACGCCGATCCCTCCGGGAGGGCTCAATTTCTTGAATTGTTGGACGGGCACTTTGCATGGGTTCGATCCGAAGTTACTGCCCCAGGATGGCTGCTATGCTCAAGCGAGAGGTGGGCGGTGTCCTCGGAAGTAGTATGTAGCGTTGGGTTTATATCTTCTTTGGCCAAGGTAATAGTGGCTCCTTGGTCATAAACCCTTGAATTGATGGTGACTTTCTAAGCTATCTAAGCCTGAACCACCAAGTGGTATGGGACCGCTTAGCGGCCGGAACACCTTACCAATATCTTGATATATCTATATGTATCTTTCATTGTTGAGTGACAAAGTGAAGCCGGCGCATTTCAACTTGAGAAAAACTATGTGTCAAAACATCTACGGCTTGCCAAAGTTCATCGCGTCTACCTCAGATGAGTTTCAAGCGCGCAGCAAGATTCTTCCAGATGCGAACGAGAACTCACTCGCTGGGCACTTTTCTCGCGCCGCCCGTGGAATCTAGTAATGACTGCGGTCCGTCGACCACCAACGAGCTCCTGTGCTATACTTTCGCAGGTACAACGTCTCTCAATCGGTATCCTTCGGTATCGCAGGCGCAGCAAAAGAGTCACATTGCGGAGAGCAAGAAGGAAGTTGGTGCGTTCCATTTCTACTGCCCCAGATCAAATAAGAAATAACGGAAACCATTTTACTGATGCATGATGTAGCAGCACAGATGATAAGACCTACCTGGGAACAAGCGCTACTGGGATTATCGATCTCCTCATACAAGTGATGCGTCAATCTAGAATTGTGTAATCCTTGCCATTCTCTTTTACTTCCGCCTAAGAAAAACACGACGTCGGTCGACCAAATACGCACCCTGCTTCCAGCAAGCCAGCAGCCAACAGGAGAAAAATGGCAGTGAGCTAGCCAATAACTCACTAACGGGTCGGAGTCGGGTAGCTCTTGATTAGTGATTCTACGCGATAAGTTAGTCTTTGCTTCTCGATCGTTTGCTTCGCCACAATGATTTGTGTTCTGCGCGTCTACGCAAACCAGACAGTGCCAGATCTTCTATATGGGGTTACGGTCAACTGTGTTATTTCTATTCCTCCGACGGGACCTAGTAGGCCTTACTCGCCGGGGAATGTATCGTTCAACTAAAGTGGCTTGTTTTTCGAACTCTGAGGCCTATCATCTACCTCCAGGCCTACGACAATGCTAATCGAGGACCATTGGGCTCCGTTTCCATTTTCTTTCGAAACAAGTGTAGCACCCTGGCGACGGTCGGGGTTTTCATCACGATCTTGCCTCAGGCATTTGATCCCTTTGTGCAGCAGATCATAGAGTATCCTCTTCACGGGATGATGGGACTTTCGCCCGGTGCAAGCGTCAGACATTCATATTTCGTCGGAGAAGGTAATCAGGTTTTTACATACGCCTCAAATGCTGCTCTCTGGTCAAATGACTTTGCCATTCACCCGGTCTGTTCATCAGGGAATTGTTCGTGGCCACTCCTCCAATCATTTAATGGTGTAGTAAATGTGAAGATGGCACTTCTGACGCTACTCTGGTGGGCTGCGACATGGCCTCTTTGAACACCAATCTGACCAGGGACCAGACTCTTTCATACAATGTCTCTCTACCACAGGGCTCGTGGGCAGCGGAAGAGATTCACGCAATGTATGCGAACGATCCCGGTGCATACAATGGGGAAATCCATAGGATTTTATTTGGCATGTCGACACACTTCACTGGGCTGAAGGTTCTAGTATTCGGTTCACCTATAAAGGGAATCGGGTAACGGGTTTCAACATCTCCCTTACCAAGAAACATATTTGGGGGTTGAGAATCCATTTTATATGGTGGCACACGGTCACTTGGCGCAATCCGAAGACTATGGCTAATACAAGAATATGAGGACACAACATCAGCCTGGATGGCCTTCAGCATCCAAAAAGCCGCTGATGATCCAAGAGGTCACGTAATGTACAGTGTACCCTTGCGCGAGAACATAGAACCTTTCTGTCTCCAGTGGGATATTGTCGTCCAAAGTCTCCGCGGAAGATTTTGGCTCATCCCATGTTGAACAGTTCGATGACTACATGAGCGGTCGAGAAGGATACGAGACAGGATTATGTTGGAAACATGTGATCATGTCACCATATGGTGGCTCTGGAGACTACTTTAAAACCAATGGCAGACAATACGTCAAGGCTGCTGACATAGCATTTTGCGTTGGGGATTCTTCCTCATTTGGCATTGATAAATGGCAACTTCTGGGGTACTCTAGTTGGGACCTAACCAGGCACTCTGACAGGCTTGCACAAATAAAGCCATAAGTTATAATTCCTCACAGCTAAACAACCCAGAGCTTAGCTACTTCGCTGTCGAAACTTGCGCGGGATAACTCCGATAAAAGTGGCCATTCGATTCGTTTCTGACGAAGAGTCCTACGTTATGGTCAATTGGCCCTGGTTGACGCTTCCCGTTATGGAACTTCTGCTTGGAGTCATTCTTCTGAGCTCAACGATTGTAGTCAACAAACACAAGAAACCTGGTCTCTGGAAGACCTCCATTCTGCCTGCGCTCTACCGCAGGACTTAGAAGGATTCAATCGGGGTGGTCGGTGAATATAAAACTCTCAGCGAGATGGAGCATGCTGCAAGGAGAAGATAGCCGATTATGTGACACCTAGCACCTGAAGAATGCTTTATGGCATTTCACAAGCTCTTTGTCGTTGTGTATATCATTACGATGCATGTAACATTTCACCCTACTACCAACCTTATATAAACCTTAGAGAGAATACATTTAAAAAGCGACACATAGTGACATGGGTTCTAGGAGGGCAGGCTGATTTCGCAGATCACTGTACATCAAAATTGTGGCGCAGAGTATTACTGTAACTTTGAGCTGCTATGTGAGAAACCAAATAGTCCATTGAAGGGTCTTGTCTATTTTGTTAATCTAGCGATGTATAGTACAACTAGACTGGTGTATGGACAGGTTAGGTTATATTAATAGAGTTCGTTATATCTAATCGCTGGAGTATAGCTAGATTGATAGAATTTCTATATAGATCACCTCTAGTCCGCGTAGCACTTGACAGAATTTACGCTCGGCGGACTAGTTGAACCCTGACCTGGGTACTGGATATCGCCTGTACCGCCGCCATTGCATACGGTTGACCTGTTGAAAGAAAGTACAAGTCAGCTAGGATCTTCCTACTCAGACACTAGCGGAGAATACATACGTCCAGAAGCGGCAGCGGTACCCGTTAGGGATTTTAACCGACCGGACGTTGCCTGAGACGGGAGTGCCGTTCAAATTGTCTATAGGTGATCAGTGAATTAGCGATAACAATGGCAGGTTTGTGGAGGGAGGCCACAAACAGCATTGGTGCTGAAGGTAGACTTGAATGTCAATGCAGTCCCCAGCATAGTTGGCACCATCGCACACCGTAATGCCAATAGCACCTTCTGCGGCGGCGCCGATGGCGGCTGCGAGTACCAGGAAAGCAGAAGTAAAGCGCATAGTGAACAGTCGGGATAGAGAACAAGTGGTCTTGGAGAAGCTGGATAACTCGCATCCTCAGGTCAGGACGCTGCATTTTATACCCTTCTGGGACCCCTTTTCCTGTCGCCGACCTGATAATATGGGATGCATCATCATGTTGTACGGCGTATATGCAGCTCGACGTACCTTTTCCTAAGATATGGCCCCCACGATAAGATTGACCAATGTCGAAGTCATAAATTCAAGTGGAGACTGTAGAAGAGGAAAGCTGACCTCCACAACTAAGTGGGACCCAATGATAGTAGTGGACAGTACCAGATCTAGTTAACCTGCTAGCCCGAGCATCTCAATTACCACATCCGTATACAAGATGTTGACCAGAAAGTGTGAAGAACTGAGATGCTAGGCTAATACTCTCCTGGTCTAGTACAAAATACCCCCGGCAGTGAAGACCCGGTAAGAAGAAATCCCATATCACAGATGGAGGGAACAGAGTACGTACTGTATTTTATACTATCACTCTCCAAAGTACTACATCATTGAAATGCGGGTATACTCTGGAGGTACTCATCTCAGAAGAGTATTGTTATCAAGAAGAGACTCCAATGAAGCTGGATCGGACCATTACTACTATGCCTTGGCATACGAACAAGCATTGAATGTTTGCCCCCTCTTGGACGTGGAGCCTCGGCCCCTTCATCATCGAATCTCCTATGCCGGAAGAGCCGGAAGAGCCGGGAAGAGAGCCCCATCCCGGAGTGGATCCCAAAGCGAACTACGCCCCTTACATCTCTGGCTGTGTCAACAATCTGGAAGAAGGACAAGTTGTGGCCACTTGGCAGAAGATGCTCCTCCCATTCTGACCGCTACTTCTACTAGGACGAACGCGCGGGTTGGTCATGTTCCAGATATTATGGACCGCTCTGTGTTTCTGTTCCTGTATCGGAGCCAATGCCAGGTAGGGTTTGGTCCTGACCCCTCAAACAACGTAACAGCTTCCAAACACATATTTTCCATCTATTGGGCCAGTACTCCTATTAAACTACTCTGGCGGTAAATGGAAAGTCCTCTAGATGTTGTCGAAGCTGGGGGAAGTTGTCATCCATCGGATGCAAATCCTCCATGGCCCTGGTATTCGAGTCCATCGTTAGAATCATACAAAGCCTGCCCAGCGATGGGATCCGGCAGTATCCCACCTCGCAGTAACTTGATTCATCTTCCTCGTTGCCGTCGTCGTCATAATCGTTGTCACCCGGATTACTGGCATCCTCACCAAAGCAGACCTCCACGACGTTGAAGACGAAGTAGCCCCAGGTGGAATCGCGTCTCGGACACTGAAGGTGAAAGATTCGTATGTTGTTATAGTCTCGCGAATCTGCGGGCCTTCGTAGAGATCGGCCTCATAAAAGGCGAGGCTGGCTTGGTCGTACGTTTCCGCACTGACCCCGACTTGGACGTGGCTGAAAGGGCGGGTGTGTTTGGATACAGGAATCAGCGCCGGGACCGAATGATTCCATATGTAAATTGAGATTCATGGTAGATGCAGAGTCCCAGAGTGTTTGTTTGCAATGCGAAGAGATGTCGAGTGAAACGGACAGCGTGACAAACAGACACAGGGCAATCAGGGACCTTCGCGCGAGGAGAATCCTATTCTTAACTCGGTGGAATGGAGATCGATGCCCATGAAGAATTTGCACTGAGATAATACAACAATTCCCAACAACGTTGTGATGCAGAGATAGGCCACACTCGGCCTATATTGGATCTATATACACCCCGTCACCCTAATGTTGCCCCGTCCTCACAATTTCTATTTCTGACCGTTTCCCCCCAGCTCGTTCAGTTTCTTGAGCACGAGTTCGACATTCTTGTACGTGCTCGTCCCCCAATAGTGCCTCATCTCCACAATGTCCAGCCTGGCCCATTTTTCACCTTCGCTGACCATGCGGTCCATATGGCCCCGAATCCATTTAGCGCGGTATTTGTAAATCACAGTGGACATGCTCCCTTTACTAATCCACACCTGGTCTGCCAGACCAAGTTCAAAGCAATTGTCATGGGATACTTTGACGCAGATCTTCTCAACCTCGGCATCGTTCAGGTACGTGAAGACGTTGTTTATCGTGCGGATATTCTTCAACCCAGCGCATCATTTTCTATGATATTTGTTGAGTTTCATGCGATTGCTGGCAACTACGGGTTGCCTTCCACCCCAAACTAATGGTTGTTGGCGCACAGTCGTATGAGAGAGATGTAGAACGGGTGGGCAGGGAAGGGGGGTTACGTTTTCCCTGTAGCGGTTGATTGTCTGTTTGGGAAACACACTGGCATTCGAGTGGTCCTTCCAGCCATGGCGCTGTATGAAACGTTTCTGGCTTCCTTCCCACCCGGTATCCCCTGGACTCTTTAGAACAGGCTTGGAGACCATGCTGAGGAAGCCGCAGTGGCTCTGATTGAAGCCGGACTTGCTCTTATAGGGCAGCTGATTCTTGTACACATCCTGGAAACATAGGTTCATTATCTGCAGGGGGTGTGAGTTCCTACTCAGGTGTACGCTGGAATGCTACTTGCAATAGTAATGTTAGGGTCTGGATTACTGCACCTACAGATCGAAAATTAGACCTTTGTTGGTTGAAAAGCCCTTGAATGTCATGGCTTGTTGAAGAATTGCGCGTCTTGCCGATAATGTTTGACCGCTCATGATGGATATTTATATATTCTAAGGGTGAATTGCCAAAGTAACGTGTTCGACAACGTGTGGGAGACTGGGTGGCTGTGTGACAACAATCTCATCCACAATAGAGAGAAATGACATTGACAGGTGTCGTTGTATTTATTCTACATTGGTCGATTCGAACACCGGCCACGTTTCCAGCAATTCCGAGGGCTTGAAGAAGCATCCCGATAGTCGTTCCGACCGAAAAAGCCCGTATGGCGCACTTGAATATTTACCTGTCATTGTAAATTTGTTGTAACTCAGCCCCAGAGCGACGACGTACATGATAAATACCTGCCCTCGTGACAAAGCAACCGTGAAGAGAATTTGCCTGTCTGACATGCAATTAGATACTGCACAGAACCAGGTCTGCGATATGAACAAAAGCTTTCTGCATCTTGTAAATAGAGCTATGGCGATTCTCAATTTGCAGATCAGAACAATAATCAAAATTCATGATGGGTCAACTTATTGTAAGTATATCTGCTTCGGCCATATATGCTCTCGACCATGTAGTAAGTAATTTCAGGTGACATTATCGCAAGACAAGCTCACGAAAAAAGGAGTCATAGTATAAGCAGCTTCATTTACGTTATTCTCCTTTTTTCTTTCGCCTCTCGTATTTGTAATACCTCAACTAGTTTTACCGCATCGTCGAGCGGCCAAAGTTCATTGTCGTTCATGTATCATCTTGAACTTAATCGTGTGGTCGGTCGAGACGACTATCTCGCAGTATAAGGTACAGGTGATGGAAAACATTGAAATGCATTAATTCCCTGCATGGCCTGAAAGAGCGGTCGCCAGCCCCGAGCTATCAACATTTCCATAGATCCACTGGCTGAAGTTGCTGGGAGCGGCTTGGTTGCAAGGAATCCCGGAGCTGTTCTGACCAACGACATTCGTGCACTGAAATAGCTCGTACTGAATATCTGTGTCATAATAAGCCTGACCCCGGGTGGCATTCAGGCTTGTGATGTTCACATTCTCGAAAGTCATGTTGGGACATGGGCGCTCATCCGAACAGTAGATCGACGAAGCGATGTTGAAACGGGATGTGCCATGGATATTTTCCCATTTCACATCTTCAATCTGCAACGTCGAGGTATTGCAGCTCTTGTTGGATCCCGCGGAGTACACGCACTGGGAGACCTGGATCGGAAGTCCGACATTGTCCATTTCAAAGTTGCGGAAAGTGACATTTTTGACCAGCCCAGTTCCACCGCCACCCCAGTCGCCGTTGCTGGGAGTGAAGATGCGTGTGCCTTGCCAGGTCTTGATGTAGGCGCCATCCATCGCATTCTTGATTGTCACGTTCTCGAAGGTGGTGTTGAGATTATAGTCGGGCATGTCGGGGTATTGACCGATAGACCCAATCGTAATTCCGGTGCCACCTTCGCAATAAATATTCTTGGCGAGTAGGTTGGTGGTGTTTCCTTTGGCTGCGATACAATCGTCGCCAGTGATAATGGTGGCATTCTCCACCAGCAGGTTGTCACTCTGCCAGGAATCGAAACCATCGGTGTTCATTGTGCCCCATTCGCTGTCGCTGGTAGCGTTCACAAACAAGTTCGTGAAGGACACATTCTTGCTAGCCCACACAAATGTGGCCCAGAACTGTGGTTGAATCACGCGCAGTCCATCGACCAGCAGGTTGGTCGAGTTGTAGATCGTCATACTCATCGGCCGCCCCGCCTGGTTCGATTCATTCCGGTTCGCATTGTACCAAGCTTGACCCTGGCCATTGTAGAAGCCACCCTCGCCATATAAGCTCACATTGTGTCCACCGAAGAGCCATGCAGTGACTTGATCCTGTAGAACAACACTGATCGAATGAGTTCTCCAGTAGGGAATGTTGGTAGAGAAGCGTAGCTCGCCACGCAGACGAACATCACAATTCAGCAGATTGGTCGTGTTGAGGACCGTGTTGACATGGAAAACATTCTCGGAAAAAATGACTGTCCCATTGGTGCCACACAGATCAAAGGCCTGTTGAATAGATGGGGAATCATCCACCACCTGTCCAGGATGAGCAAGAGATTCGGGGTACAAAACGCATGTTGTGCCTTGGTTGTCGACCCAGGCGGTGACCAAGGCGATCCAGAGGGTAAGAAGCCACAGATTCATAGCGCACTCAGACGACTGTGCTTCGAATGCTCGTCGACAGATGGATTACGCATTCTGGAGGGAAAGGGCGCCCGCTATATAGCCACGCAGCGCATGAAAGCTTTTCCCCCGAAAACACCTCCTTATGTGGGATTCGATCAAGTTACATCATATCCCCAGTCTCGCAGGCTAAGCGAATACCTTCCATATCATATGTGGATGCTGCTAATTTTCCAACTCCACTTGAAAGTTCCAGGAACGGATCCTGGGTAACCTACTCAAGACCTGTTTGGCGCTTGGTTACATACTAGAGTCGAGCGAGGGTATTTGATTGCTTAAAAAACTTGATCCCAACAGTTCTTTGAAACTATCTGGAAAAGGTAGGGGCCTTCAAACCCCACATCCCACCCCCAAGTAAGCCTGCGCAGGTCTCTGGGGTATGTCATAAAAAATGGCGGCTATTGGGTTCAAAGATTTCAGATGCTGAGCTGGTTCCAGGGTCGGAAACTTCCCCGAGAACAACGATTCAGTCCCACGGGGTGCTCACTGTGGAAGTTACCCCACTGACTAGGCCCTTGACGCCAAGAAGGCTTAGCTCTGGATTGTTGGTTGCTGGTTGCGGTATTCGTGGTGGGTGATCCTTGCCTCGTCCCGAGTCTCCTTCCCGAGTCTCCTTCCCGAGATCAAGACCCCTCGGAACCAATCCGGCCAGCAAGGTGGAGCTCGGCAATATTGCCTCATACCGTTTCGAGTGGGTTCGTCTCCAAAAGTCACCACTGGTGTTCACTGGACCGCTGGGGATTTTCCTCGGCTGTCTATGGACTCGTCTGCGTTAATGACTCTGGTGGATGCCAGTTTAGTCCAACGCCGGCTTCAATATCAGAATGAGATGGAGGATATATGCCTGATGTTCTTCATCCCGCCGGGCATGTTGCTCAGCCAAGGTCGGGACCCTCGGGAGTCTGCCAGACTGCTCCTCGATAGCATGGGAGATCAGGTCCAGAGCTAACTACACAGCCAACCTAATTCGGTTGGAAGATGTGTGGTAGCAGCTGGCCGTCGACATCGAGATGGCTGCTACAATCAAGTTCAGTTCAAGAGTGTACCACTTCCCATTCGACACTTACCACAAAATACTTTAGAATGCATTCAGGTCACACAAAGAGAGGCCGATAGCTTCACCGAATTCCCCACATTGCTTCCCTGGGCACTCACGCTGGGCACTGACGCTGGGCACATTAAGTGGGGAAGCGTGATGTGTGATTTGAAGATCAACCATGCCCTGATGGATGGCCAATATATGCGGCTTTTCGCCCGATACGTCCCATGATCGCCAGCTACCGTCACAATTATCTGCTTTGTATAGTCGATATGTATGTTCCTTGAACCGCGTTCATGCGATATTGTGAGACACATCTCGGCGACACCGAACCATGGCTGTTCCCACCTTTCGCATGAGGACTTGTGAATGGACAGGTTCACTCAGCTGCTGATGAACAGATGAGGATCCAGGACATTCCTCAACTCCTGCATTCTCGCGAGAAAGAAGGGTCGACATTATTCAAACTGCGAGAAACAAAAATAGCCCATCCTCAAATCTGGATCTAGTCACATCGCGGGATGTACACGATACCTTGACGCTCCGATTGAGGCACCCCCTGTTTCAGAGTATATTAAAAGATATATACTCACACCCAGTGTATCCAGATCGGACCAGAGCTGGCAAGAGCTCATTCAACCAACACATGAACCCAATGGCATTCTGATCGACCCAGTGATCCTCGCCAACAATGGGCCCTGGTAGATGGAAGACGAGAACCAAACATATTCATGTGGGCGATGTCGTTATCTCGGAGACGATTTGTTCGTATTCTGACCCCCGGCCCCTTCTCTACTGCCCGGTACCCACACTCCAATGCTTATCCCGAACCTCATGAAGTTCTCTGTCTCATAGCCCGCTTCACAACCATCCACGCATGGATAACAATGCAGAACCAAGCCAGTCTCCTACTGGAGGCCCACAGCAAAAGTGCCCCACCGACGATACAAACCAGCCAGCATGGAGCAAGCGACTATCTGGCACGCCAAATACAGAATCTTCTAAACGATAACGATGCAATGCAACAACTTCAACCGAAACCTGCCGCACTACCATTTGTTCTGAGTTTGTAGTACTGCCAACCAATGAACCCCTGGAGTTTCTCTCCTAGTTTTTTGAAAGAGCACTGCCACACTGCACTTCTAAGTCTGAAATGGTTGCCGGTGATCCATTGGAAATACCCAAAGTCGATGCGCAAGCGAGGGAGCAAGTCTGCTGCGCTTAGCCTTCAGACCCTGCAGAATCTCACATTCCAATGACGTGCATCTTAACAAGTCCAGGAGACGGTTGTGGTGGTTACCACAAGAGAAGGACCTTTTACTGGAATTTAGAAGGGATCTAAAGCTATCCTGGTGTGATGTAACGAAGCTGTCCTCGCATCAATTTCCACGACGAAGCCAGGACGATATCAGCATGGATCACACCATAGGTATGTATCCAGTTGATGGCGTCGATAGCATTTCCAATCCATCGGTCTCGAATATGATTGTCAAGTCCCCTGTCCTGCAGGTGGTCACAGAGGTTTCTAAGTCGATAAATGGAAAGCGGAGGCTTTGTTCTCCGATATCAAGACATTCGAGTATATGAGGATTCTTGGGTATGGTTCAATAGATAAGTTTTTCTCGATCGATGCATAATTCCGAGATAGACTCTATATGTTGCACATGCTCAATGACGTGCTTCTCGCACCCTGTGGTATCGTGCTTGAGGGTGGTTTTAATGACTTGTCCGTTGCTGTCCTGGAAGACCACCCCAGCCGATCCCAGCGCGATGAAAGAAACAGCTCCCTCGGGTTGGATTAATAATGGATCACCATTCATGTTGCCAAGAATCGAGAGAAATCCCAGCCAGGCAAACAAAGGACGGGTGGAAATAGGAAAGAAACTAATATGCACTTGAGTTGATCGAAGGGAGGGCCAACTCTGCTGTCTCGGGGGCTGGCTGCTCAACGTATCACGTGATAGAAGTCTTCCCAGCAACATCCATCTTTGGAAACACCAGAATTTGTGGAATACGCAATATGGACGGGACTACTTTATCTGCTTCTCAGATTGACTGCCTAGAGACCATTTACCTTCCGGGATGTGCAGGCGCCCCACCTTTTGGCAACCGTTGGGCAGGCTGCTTTGTCGCCATGTCCACCCGTCGGCCCATTTGGCCAGAAAATTATTTGAATCGTAGATTCAGATTGATGCGACCTTTTGGTCTGGTTTGGGGTGTGTTTATCTGGATACGTGCCTGGACAACCTGAATCCGACTCCACAAACAATTTTTCCTCTGACTCAGAATACATTGTCCTCAATGACTGTGTTCTCTCGGTGCCAACTGGACCGTGAATATCCACCGCGGTCTAACCCTCTCTTGCTACCGAACCAGTATAAACGTTATAATTCCAATGCTTACAATTGTCCTTGATGTCCAACCCACCCGTGCCACTCATGATAGCCTTCCCTTCGCGTGTCACGGAGAATTTCTGAACACCTACGCCCATACTAATATTCGATGTGACAATCCCCGCCGGTACTTCAATGGAGACTGGTTGATTGGAACCACTCGTAACGATCAACGTGGCTGGTTTTGTCAACATGGTAGCGATGAAGACACTGTCGTGCAGCATGCTGACACCGTTTGGTTGAGGCAGGGGATCACCGGTGCAAGCGATGTTCTTCGGCGTGGGACGGTACCAATATACAAGTTCGTCCTTCTCTATGATAGGAGCAATCGCACCAGACTTGTAAGCTGTTATGTAAGGCTTATACAGGTTTCGCCAGGCATCATGGGGCATTCCTGCTGCCCACTGTGAAGAGCCGTCATCACTATGATTGGCAGAGTAAGGTCCGATGTAGTGCGATTCGCCATAATCTGATATACGTTAGCTGTGGAGATGTGTCTCTGGAAGGGCGAGCCACCATTCCATGAGATAATCTCGATCAGGTTTGGCTGAAGCTGGAGCATCTGTTCCCAACGAAGGGTCGGAAGATTCTCACAGACGAATACCCAATTTTTGGTGTTGAAGTGCGTTGCGAACCACGGCGATACCGCTAGGCAATGTTAAATCTGTAGGTGTAGAGACGGGTGGGAAACAAACGAGCCATATATGTTTGTCCAGCCAGAGCTTTAACAAACCTCTCATCCCAGATAGTGGTCATTGGTCCGGGTATGATGCTGTTTCCCCCATCAGTAGGCCATGCATACCAGGAGAAGGCACCATCGGTGGACCGCGTAGCACCACTCGACGCCGCCGCCGGATCCTGGAGGTTAGGCAGGGCCCATATGGGGTGGGAGGTCCCTTGCTTTACAGGACCCCAGTTGAAACTGTCTCCAACAAATGTACTGACAATGGCAGCCCCACTATACTGCATCTGTGCGGGATGACTTGCATATTGTCTCATATACGCCGTGATTTTCTCTGTGTCTCCGTTACTCCAATAGGCAAAGTCGAAGGAGATAAAGACTTTAAAGTTGACCTGCTGAGCCGCCTGGTACGCTAGTGCTAGCTGAGCGGGTGTGTATTTGTCTATGCTGGCGCAGTTAAGGGCAAATGCATCAATGCCAATTGCTTGCGCTGTGGTCATGTCGGCGATCCAGTCTGATAACTGATACTTCTCAACGATGCCAACCTGTGCTACGTCACGAAAAATCCATGGGGAAGGTCTCATCACACTAACCATGAAGTGAGCAAACACATACTTGCTAGAGTCTGCACGAGCTATCAACGAAGTCGCCATGGGGAGGCCAGAGACTATTGCCAGCAGGCCTGTAATGATAAAGAGAGAGTTGCAAATCATGCTGGCTCACTGTTTCCACTGTAACTGACTTGTTCATATTGCTTTCTAGCCGTCAGAACGGATATATATATATATTAATGCTAAAGGGAGAGGATTATTTCAATCTGGCCCCGCCCATTCTCGCATTGCGGTCAAGTCAAAACGAAGTCTCGACTGCAACACTCTCAGCCAGTGCTCGGCAGACCATCCCGCCTGTGTTGTACAAACGTTTGAAGTGTAACTTTACCTCTGGAGGTGCGAGGCTCCTGACATTCGCCAGATGGAGATTGCCGGGCGCCACCTATGTAGCAAGGTCTTGAAGCTGTGCCATATGCTTTGTCCCATTTTCTAGTTCATTCAGCCGAGTTGCGTGCAGAACTCTGGATGGCCACTGAGTGCTGGCGAATATGTTACACGGCATGTTCTTCCTCCTCATGAATTGACTTGGCCATCTGTAACGCTGTGGCTCCCTCATGGAGGACGTAAAGCATCGAGAACCCACAAGGCAATACTTAGACGGTTATGTGGTTATTTGAACGATCGATTTGCCAGGTGAGACGTGTATCAGGGACAAAGGCCACTGTGAAAACTCCGCAGTTGCATGCATTCGCTCATGTCGGCAACCATCATGCAGCTGGTCATCCGGCAGAGATTTTCGGACTTTCTCACCATTCAGCGAGCCTGCCCAAAGGTCAAAGAAAAAGGGATGATCGGCCGGTGTATCAGCTGGCTGGTTTCACCCCGCACTTCGGAAAATATACCTGATGCTTATCATTGGCACAGACTACGTTGCAAAGAAGGGCGACACGGTACATTACGAACTCAATGGGCCTGTGCATAGTCGGAATTGGTGACTTGCGACACGGCAGGTTGATCTGCCACTATTTCCCTTCTTCTGGCCGACCAGGCTTCGCTGTTTTCTTCTTCTACGTGCACAATGTTCCTCCCATCCCGTGCTGGCGCGCTATTACCTTTTATTTGTCCCATCAACCTGCTTTCTCCAAGCTGGAATTTCCAAGGATTGATTAGCTCCAAATGGACTAGCCACTCACAACAACTCAACTTCCTGAGTGCCCACAGTAGTTGTATGCTTGGCTATATGCAGTGGCTCCAAGACGGGTCGAGTGGAACTCAAAACGGGTTGGCGTACGTTCTCAGGTGGTGCTCAAATGTTACATCCAGGGCTGCCACCCGAGGAGCTGCACGTCAGTCATTGGTAAAGTTGGGTGCGGTTGGATACAACGCTGGAGGTTAAACTTCATTGCCATGCGACTAGGTGGTGTTCTCAGGTGGTGATATTGTCGGGCTAAGGGGCACACATATGAGGACCACGAAATGCTAGCCAACTATCCTTTAGGATGGCCGCTCATGGTCGTTATATCCATCACCTGACGGGCCAGCGAGGCGCTGGGGATGGTTTATTTCACAGTCTGACTCCAGTTGAAAGGCACCGGGTCCATCATCTGCACTAATCCGTCTGTATTCACCTTTTCGGGAAATGAATGCAGCTGTATGCATGACACATTCCCCCAGCGACGCATTCTCAGTGGAGGTGTGGAGGGTACCCATCCAATTAGCCCTTTGAGCATCGAGCGTACGTCTCAGAGGGATTCCTCGACGACATAGCTAGCCATAGTAGTGAATCTATAAACATGATATATATTGTAACATCAATTGTTACCCCCATTCACACCGTCATATTTGAAAGCTTCTTCAAATGTATCCCTTTTGTAGAGGCTTTCTGCGCAATGGCCCCAAGTTTTCTCCATATCTCTGTAAGTGAGGATGTGATCATACATCTCTTGACCATCCTGCACCAATTTTCAACAGTTATCACTCGGATCAGTCGGCGAATGCGTCGAATATTGGACATTCAGAATAACTACTAAGGTTGTCCCGTCAGGCACTTACCTTCTCAGTGAATACTGCTTGCGCTTTCCTGCCTTAGGATTCAATGTTAACGTCGCGATTCAGCCAAGATTCCAGATTCCGCGTAGACTTTAAATAGCACCAGAAAGTCGACTAGTGTACCTACGAACAGCAGAGCTCCATCGTGTAAATCGCATATCGCTTGAGATGAATAGTTTGCCTTAACCAGCCCCAATGTTGCCACCAAGATAAGCGAGCAAAGAGACAGACACAATGGATCCAGCGACATGCCATCAGCCATTTTGTTTCAAGCACTAACCACGCCACTAGTTTGATTGTCTGTTACCAATTGGCATTCAGGTGACTCCATGGCTGCCCGTCGATTTCACCATTCATCGTGAGTCAATTATATTCATTGAGACATATAATGGGAAATGCTATTATGTACGAAGGATTACAATAGCAAAGTATAAGACCATAAGCAAGAATAGAAATGGTTATATGCAAACCGCATGTCGACGCCGGGGTGGTTGACGTCGTTTCCCGATCGCTGCGCAATCTTCTCCTGATATATAGTTCGCTCTGATCCAGTGTGCTTTCAATTCGTTCCTTTTGTTCCTTCGTCGCGGTCCTCCTGAACATCCTGGGGCTGGTCCTTCGGTGGCACTTGTGAAAGCCAGAACTTGCTAATCACTCCACTCAGGAACGTGCCGTCCACCCATTTAATGACGGCATACAACACCAAGCCCCAGCTCCAGAGGTATACGCCCATCATGCTAGCGACCAGGAAGATTGGTCCCAATATGACAAATGATAGTATAGCCCACAACAGTGCGGCTACCGCAGCAAACACGAATGTACCAGCTAAAAAGACAAGGAACGGCACTCCACAGCAGATGAGCTGACAGACGAGGAATGATATCGCGTACGGCCTTCGCAGTGCAGCTTCGAAGAGCGCTGCTTGGCGAGGAGGAGGAAATATCCAGGCAAGTAGCCATTTCACAGTGCCTTCGAACCAGTCCAATGTGCTTGGGATGACGTCGCGGAACCACGCGGTCATTGGTGCATACCACGGACCCGACGATGTGTCTTGTACCGTGGCATTGTCTTGCGTTTTTTCTCCTGGAAACTCGCCAGGCGTTGTTAGACTCGTGGATTTGGTAGCGGTCGCACCAAGCTGTTTCGCCTGTCGTTGTGTCGTTGGTACGGCACTGGTGAGTAAAGAGTCGGCTACAGTTGTTGGATTTTCAGTGGCTCCGTCCAGGAGGCTAGACGCTGATTTCAGAGACATTGTGTGTGTGGTTGCGCCCAGCGATATTCGGTTCAGATGTAACTATCGAGGATACAGTTGAACGACTCCGGCCGTTCAAGAGATAGAAGGTGACGATATCCGTCATACAAATATATAAATAAACGCCCCCGGTTCCTGTGCTATGATGTCACATTCCGGTCATTGTGGGACCAGGCGAGTCAACTCAAGCACAGGGAAGGCCGGATGAAATACAACAGTATCCTCCCGTATAAACCAGTTACATAATCCGGTATTAACTTTCAAGAGTGATCCATTGAGAGGAAACCAAGGTACATGGGAAGCCTTGACCCTTTCTCACACGGTAGGGTAAGGTATATTGTGAATATATATCTTCACACTGTCGTGAGATATAGCTAGTAGAGACTTTGAGCGCGAGTGAATAGAGTAGACACGTTTTCCCCTACAAGCTCCCCTTCTTCAGTTATGGACTTATATACCATGATACGGTTACTACAAAAGGTCTGATCTTCTATCTTTTCTGAGGCCTCTATATGGACTTCATGAGAAAACGCGTTCTATCAAAGATTAAACGTAGGGCACTTGAGGCCCACTTGCCGGCCGGATTATCCCACGGCTGGTCCAATCAGGGCTGCTACTCGGAACTCGGAATCCCCAGCATTCCGGCTGTGGGGCCGCATTGGAACCCTTCTTGCTGGACGATATTTTGGTCTCCATGACAGGCACCGATCGTACCAGACTTGTCTATGTAGAAGAGCCAGAGAGTGTCTCGACTGGACCTGATTAAATCTATTGTCCACACCAGCAGCAAGCCCCTTCGATCCACGACTATGGATACAAAGCTAAGGAAGGACTCACGCCAAGCCCTTCAAGAAGTATAGTATTTTATCTCCCCTCTTACATGATTTCTTTCCCTTCAATACATCTTGATTGGATCATGCCTCCTGGTTATCTATCAATGCCATAATAGTTTCACTGAAGGACTGATTATAAGGGTCTTAGGTATAACAGTATTACTTCCCTAGCGATTCTGTTCCCTATTTTCCTCCGTCGCTCGTGTATGATTTCATGAGACTCTGCCTGGAGACACACAATACGCCCAACAGTATTATGACACGTTGCTGCCTACGTACAAAAGTACATGCGTCATTCACTGGAAGCAGGGTCAACCCTCAAGATTACCGAGACGTCTCTTGGATCGCCTGGTGGAGCAAGTCTTTTCTGAGTGTGACCGGAAAGGGCATGGGACGCTTCACATGGTGTCTTGTGCCTCAAGGGGGATCAAAAATCCATTGAGTTAGGAAATCAAGGGTTTGGACAAGGTCAAGTTGAAGTCGAGCATCCTTCTGCCGTTAAACCTACATATGTTTGATATGGAAGGAGGGCCCAGGAGGTATAAATGAAGGTGTTATTACTCAAAACACATATATGTGATGTTCAAATGCCAAGGTCATAGTGACATGAACTACCTTGCTCTAAATCAAAACCCTTCTGAACTAATACACAAATGAATGGAAGCCAAACGCTGTCCCTAGAGATGGGCACATGTTCCGGTTGTCAAGACCTGAGGAGTCTTCAACTTATGGTCCCCAATTGGAACATCCACCCTCTCTCCCTGAACACCACCAAATCCGCAGATCGCTCCACCGGGGTTGTAGATATGAGAAACCGTCTTCTTGATTTCTACTTGTGAGTCAGCTTGATTGTTCGATTGCTTGTTAGGAGGGGATGACCATACCAACTTCATCCGAGCCCATATTAGTTGGGAACGTCTGGGACCATTTCTCACCATCAGGGGTGTAGAATGTGATTGAGATGGAAGAGATTTGGCGCTTGTCAGAGGGGGCAGCACTAGCGAACGCCGCAAGGGAAGGGAGAATCACGGTAAAAATGGAGAGCTGCATGCTGGGTATTTTATGAGAGACGTTGATATTCTCAAAGGAGCACTGAACAGGCTGGAGTATGTATGGAGTTACGTCTGATAGTAGAACCCTTTTGATTTAATTTCTGCTTAGAGATAGGTGCGGCACACAGCTTTATATGCAATTTTTCGAATGGTCCTTGAAAGTAACATTCCTAAAAATAGGAATCCAAAGGTAATTGTCCTTCTCAGCCTTGTGAAGATTTGGGGACAGACGTAACAGTATGATCATCAACGTAGCAAGGCCACTCGTATCCATACAGGTCCTCGGCGAGGGTTATGGTCGTTGGTTAGGTTTTGGGAGGATCTGCTCAAGTACGAGGCATCGCCACGGCCCAATGTGGGGACACCCAAGAATAGGAGCGATCATCCTCGAACAAGACCCAATCGGTTCCGTCCTCGTGTTATTTAAGGCGTCCGATCTCAATACACAACAGTGGAGACTTGGTAATTTGGTACTCGGCTACCTTAGCCACACTCGCTTACAGGTTCAACCTGCTCATCCATCTGCATCTACCATGTCTAGGCAACGCAAGGAGCTATGCAGATATTATGATAGCTCTAATATACATGGATTAGTCAATGCTGTGGCATCGATTGATGATACTCAATTGAATGTTATTGAATCGATGCTTGGATCTAAAAATAACCCCTCCCATTCAGTTCCTACGATTGAACAGACGTCCTCCAGGAGTAACAGAATTGATTAAGGGCAAGGGAAATGTATCTAACAGGAAAGCGTGTACTATAGATGGAATTGTACTCAGGTAAAGTAAACAATAAGAATACTTCCTGTGAATTTCATGGTGGTTACAGACACAATCGCTACCAATAGCTTTAACGCAACTGGCGTTGGGCATCAGAACACTGCTTCGATATCGAACCATTCAAAGAATTTAGGAAGTTATATTCTGAGGAGGAAAGTACGTGATTGGAGCATCGACACAGCCACGAAGCGATGCTCCTGTCTGCAAGAGATCGTCGTGATTATGCCGCCTAGAAGCATTGGCCGCTCCATCGTTGGTCGCCTTACAGGGTTCGAAGCTTGAAGGGGGCCTTAAATCTATTTGCTCTACCATTACGGCTGTGCTCCTACACGGATCGCGATGTCAGACTCCCAGAGTAGAGGGTCCCAGGGCGCCTGCCAGCAGCCAGTCCTCGGCAGATGGCAAAGTCGACCTCGAGCTACACCAGTAGACCCACGTCGAAGACCGCTAACTTTCTGTTCCTGCCCCTGTCAGGCCAAGCTCACCAGGGGAAAAATAATATCATCAAGGGTTGCGAAAATCTATAAATACAGACGCAATTCCTCGACAATATGCTCTCATCAACAGCGCACCTCACTATACACTACGATCTACTTCCCCTCTCAGAACACATCTATAATTCAATCATTCCACAATGAAGTTCTCTTTTGCTGCTATTATCCTAGCTGCCACCTCGGCCATTGCCACCCCCATTGCCAGTAAACGCGATGGCACCTTTGTGATCAAAGATCTCAAAGCGCGCGACTCTCTCTCCAACACCATGAGCTTCAAACTGCTTGACGGTGACGACTTAATTGACTGCAACTTGATCTGGTGAGCTTGTATTTTGACATAATGTACACTAGGGATTCCTTGAGCCTAACCAGCGCCCTTTATACATAGGAGTGCGAAAGAACCCGAAGAAAATGCCCGATGCAACGACTCCAAGCATCTGATTCAGTTTCCCGATGGCTTCGAGTTCGGCAAGTTTACCCTTGCCATTGAGCGGATTGAGCCCAACCCGATTGGTGGCCGTGCCTATCTGGATGAGAGCGATGGCAAGTGGAACTGTGTAGACAACCCGTCGGACCATGTCTACAAGGACTGCAAGTACGACGGTGACTACACTATTCCACTGTGATTGATCTCTGGAGAGACATTTGGGAGATCAATCTAGGAGCCTGGAATTCCGAGTTTCCGACATGGGTGGATATATAGATGGAAGGAAAGATGCTACTAGTACATACTGCTCGTCATTCGTCAATTAGATTCGCTGAAATACACTTAATATCTGTCATTGAGAAGATCTCCTGTCCCTTTCCCTAGAAACGCACTCTCGAGACAGATGGTTATGTCGATCGTTCATAAAGGCTTCTTGACCCCACCGCCGGCTATGCCCACCATTGCCGAGGGCCGGAAGGTGGGGTTCAGTTGTTCATGTTCATACATGCGTCGATCAAGCACCTCCACGATTGAATCTGGATCCCCAAGGCATAATATAATGGTTGGTGTATAAGCCTACTGAGACAGTATAATCATGACAACTCGAACCGAGCGTTTAGCTACCTGGGCTTCAGGATTTCAATATGATGATATCCCACAGGAAGTGATCCAGCGAACCAAAGACCTCTTCCTGGACTGGTTCGGGTGCACGATTGCTGGTCGTCACCATGCCGCCGTAAAGGCCATTGCGATGTTTGTGCAGCAGATGGGCCCCACGTCGGGGAGGAGTGAGTTGGTAGATTGCGAGCTAGGGTTCAGCACAAGCCCGCCGTTTGCAGCCATGGTGAACGCCGCCTCGTCGCACGTTGTGGAACAGGATGACTTGCACAATCGGAGTATCATGCATCCAGCGACGGTCATCTTTCCCGCTGCGTTGGCAGTTGCCCAGGATCTGGACGCAAATGGAAGGGACTTTATTACAGCCTGCGTGGTTGGATACGAGGTAGGATGCCGTGTGGGGGAATTCCTTGGAAAGAGCCACTATGCAGTATGTGGATACCTTCAGGCTTGCACCGCAGACTGTCATGTTAACCTAGCTCAAACAGCGTTTCCATTCCACTGCAACTGGTGGAGTCATTGGTGTAGCAGCTGCAACAGCGCGTCTTTTGGGTCTCGACGCTGCGGCAATGCTATCATCGATCGGAACTGCCGGGACCCAGGCATCGGGCTTATGGCAGTTCCTTTTGGACGCCACACATTCAAAGCAAGTTCACACAGGCAAGGCTTGTTTCGATGGAATCTTCGCCGCCTACACCGCGAAATCAGGGTTGTTGGGGCCCAAAGATGTGCTGGAAGGGCCCAAGGGCATGGGCGTCGCACTCGTTCCCGATACACCCAACGCCAGTGCAATTGACGCAGACCTAGGAGTTGACTGGGCAGTACTTGGAAGTAGTTTCAAATGGCACGCGTCATGTCGGCATACGCATCCAAGTGTTGACGCATTTCTTAACATTCTGTCCACCCATAGTATTAAATTCGAAGATATCGACTCGGTCGTAACCAGAACATATCAGGCAGCCTTTGACGTACTTGGACTCAGTGGACGCGGTGAAACGGTCCATCAAAGCAAATTTAACATGGGATTTGTTCTGGCAGTAACGGCGCAGAAAGGGCAGGCCATGATAACGGATTTCACAGAGGAAGCACTGCAGGATGCTTCCTTGCGACAATTCCAAGAACGTGTTAAGATGGAGCTGGATGAAGACATAAATGCGGCGTTCCCACAAAAGTGGCAAGGTAAGGTCATCGTAACTTGCAAATCCGGTGCGACCTATGAAAAATTTGTGGAATATTTGAAAGGAGATCCCCAAAATCCACTTACGAGGTATGTTTAATTCAATATCGCAATGATGGTGAATGCTAGCACTCAAGCTGACCGGATGGTGTCCTAGGACGGAGATTGAGACCAAATTCAAGGCCTTAGCCAAGTATGGGGAAGTTCAAGACACGGATCGCATCCAGCAAATTATCACCAAGGCATGGAACCTCGAAAATGAAGGCAGTCTCAAGGAATGGTGGCTCTAGTGTTCCCGATGTGATAATCTCGTACATAGAATCGATGCTATCTTGCGTATCCTTGGCTATTGATAGCAGTGTTATAATCGATCCCTTGATTTAGCTCTACTCTTCTATCACCTCTGGCTATGCTAAATGATATATCCGTATTTCTTGCCGTATAGATAAGCCTGTATGTTATAGTAAGCCTCGAAAGGATTGTTTTTATGTGTGACCTTGATATTGGATCTACACGAAGGTGCTCTTTGGCGGCCAACATCAAGTGTACTGACAGCTCCTGCTTGCTATAGAGAGCAGGCCCCACCTCATAGCCTCATGGCAAGCTTCGTGACTGATCCCTTACTCCTCGGGCTTCGACTAGCATCCATGCAATCCACCATCTGCCTGAAACCTTTGCTAAAGAGTCAAACCTGTCGACCGGTGCCTTGCCACATACTTTCGTCAAAGGGCGAAAGCATTTTAAGAAACGCGGTCGCAACTTCGTATTCCCTTTGCAAGACGTGACGATGCTGATCGGATCGAATTTGCAGGCCCAGCTGCAGATTCCGCGGTCTGACGTTGAAGCCATTCGTGTAATCTAGCGTGTCGTAGACGTGCCCAGGGATGGGCCGAATATCGAAGCACCACAGCAGCCGACTGAGCGTAATGAGTAAAGTATTGGTCGCAAGATCTGCGCCTGGGCAAATACGACGACCCCAGCCGAATGAACTATGACCAATTTTTCTTGGATGCGCAGATCCCTTTTCTTGCTTAACCGATGATATGTATTCTTTCGGAAGATAAGGTAGCAGATGTGGGTCGATATCTAAAAATCGTAAAGGGTTGAACTGATCCGGGTTAGGATAATACGTAGGATTCATATTAATTGCCCACGAATTTCCCAACATGATCGTTCCTTGAGGAATGTAGTACCCGCGATAATAATCATCTTCAGAACAAGCATGCGGTGTTCCACCCAATATAGCTACAGGGCGCCAGCGCAGAACCTCTTTGCAAAGTGCGCGTAGATACGGTAGCTTGGGTATATCCTCGAATGTAGGGAATCGACCAGGGCCCACCACAGAGTCTAACTCAGCCTGTGCCATCTCCAAGACTGCTTGGTTGGTGATGATCGCCAGCATGGCTGAGCATAAAGTGGAAGATGTGGTGTCGGATCCAGCACCGAAAAGTGAAGCAGGTATGTAGCTAATCCCGCTCAGTCAACGGAAATGCCGTGGGATCTGAGTCTCTGGTCTCGAGGAGCTGCTTGGTCAAACTATTAAAAAGAGGCTCTGCTCCCGGGGACTGCTTCGCGGACTCTATATCCTGTCGCACCACACGAACAAGTGCCATATTGGCCTCAGCCTCAAGACAGCCACGGCGTTTGATTTCCGCCTTCCATGGGGCAATCCAATCGGGTAGATACTTCAGCATGGGAAAGGATTCCACCAGGTATGCTCCTGGAGCATTCAAACTGGACGCATATTGCATGAATTCAAGTCGCTGTCTAATCACGGGTGACTTAGCGCTATCGACACGGTGACCATACGAGACGGCGAACACGATCGACGAGGCGAGCCGGTCAAATAGCGATTCCCATTCGGCTGCACCTTCTAGTAGCTGATAGCATAGCCGACTTGACTCGGCCGGCTGCAGTAGTTTGTAGTGTTCTAGGGCCCGAGGCGTCAGGGCAGAATGCAAGAGCCGGCGGCGAATGAGCCATTCTTTGCCATAAGGTTGAACAAGAATGCTGGCCATATCCCAGTATATCTCACCCATGGTGACAAACCGTGGGCGTGTGCTGTATTTTTTAGACCGTTTTTCGAGCAGCTCCGAGGCAATTGACGGGTCAGATATGACCACTGTTGGCCGGCGACCTAGCCATATAGTATATATTGGGCCATATATCCTCGACCACTCCTGGAACTTGATCCCGGGGTGCTTCGACGGGATCTGAAGCTTGTTGCCAACCAGTAGAATAGGGCAAGGACCAGGAGGAAGGTACGTCCACAAGTACACATCGTGGACGACAATTTCAAGGAAGATGAGAATGACGCCGCAGCTGATCCCCAAGACTGGACAAGAGAGGAAGGAGTGTATATAATCCATGATACAGTTTGATGTTCTGTCACTGAACAAGTATGGAAACGCGCGAGACTTCTTACAAGCTACTAGCACAGACTGTACCTAGAAAGAGATTTCAGCTTCGGCAGTCCCCAGTGACAGAGATGATAATTCAACTGAGTACTGCGGGGAACAGCATGGTTGTCTTCTAAATTCCAGTGGGAGTGATGCAAGTGGCGGCGGGACTACTAATGGCGTTGGTACATGTGGGGGAAAAGGCCCTATCGCACTTGCTACGTTGCTCTTCCCTGGCTATATTCTTGACAATGCCACGGGTATGTACAAAGGCCGAAGAGACACAACCGAATAAAATGAAAACTACCACTACCATGACTATAGACTGGGCTTGATAGGACTTGGATACTTCACAAACGCGAGAGGACCTGTAGTTGCCAAAACCCCGCTGGCTTTCCCGGTGATTCTTGGATCTTGCCCAATATAATTGGCTGGGTATCCAACGTCAAGTGGCTTGACGCTCTCGAGGTATTCGATCTGGGCTTCGGTGAGACGGATCTCCAGCGCCTTGAGGTTGTCTCGGAGATGCTCGATCTTTCGCCCACCAATTATGGGAAAGACATAGGGCGCTTTCGATAACACATAGGCCAATGCAATGGCCGTAACGGAGTCCACCCCATGCTCAGCTGCTACCTTCTCAAGTGCCTCGCTCATTCTAGCTTCTTCTGCACTCTGGATCGCAGGCCCGATCGCGCGGAGGGCTTCGCCTTCGCTTTCCCGAGCCTTAAGTTGTTTCTTCGATTGAAACTTCCCACCGCCTATTGAATCCCATGGTGCAATTGCCATACCAAAGTGCCGCGCCATTGGAAGAATATCCTTCTCGAGATCACGGCGAAGAACGTTCCATCGGCCTTGATAAATACTGAAGGGTGTCTTTCCATTTGCGTTCGCGTAATAGTTTGCCGCAGACACGACCCAAGCAGGGGTATTAGACACCCCAAGATACAGCACTTTGCCTCGTTGTACTAAAACATGAAGGCTGTCCATTACCTCCTCGATCGAGGTAGTTTGATCCCACCAGTGAACATAGAGAATATCAATCCAGTCGGTTTGCAGTTTTTGAAGCGAGTCTCGCAGTGACATATGTAGGCTTCTCCGGGAATTGCCCGAATAATTCACATAAGAGACCTTTCCAAGCTCATAGTCGCGGTAGGACGTGGTGTACTTGGTCGCAATCACCACGTTATCACGATTGCCACGAGCCTTCATCCATTCGCCAATCCATCGCTCCGATTGCTCATCCTGGTAGTTGTTCGAGGTGTCAATACAGTTTCCTCCTGCATCAACGTATGCATCCAAAAGTTCAAAGGCCTTCGGCTTCGACATGCTACCCATGAAGCTCGACCACGACTCTCCAATGGACATGCCCCCGAGCTGTAGAGGAGACACTCGGATACTTGCAGATGCCGAGAGAGGTCGTAAGCGCCCCAGTGGCGTTGCCGGCTCAGGTGCAGGCTGAAGGAATGACATCTGGATGATCTGTTCGCTATACGTCTAATAACGATTTGCTAAAGCACTTTATTATTACGTCCCACCTTTATAGCTCCAAGACCAACAGCCAGGTGATAGTCACTTCCCCTCCGGTGACTGATGATTTTGCTAACCCCCAAGAGCCCAGGATCAATCCGATCGTCTCGGTTCGGCAGACTAGCTGTTGACGCCAATCTCCGGTGAGAATGAGTTCCAACCCACATTCCCCACATCATGATGTGGCGGTATCTACGGTATCCCCCCACACGGCGTTCACCCATGATTTTTAGGCAAAGAGTCAATTTAGATTCGTTCACGGCAATGGGTCCTAACAGCAAATGCCGGGCCAATGGTATTGCGCTGTGAAGCAGAAATGGGAAGTTGAGTGAAGGAGGTGAATGATTAGAGTGAATGCCGAAGTGGTCAAGAAACATGGCACATACCACAAAACCTAAACATTGCTCTCTTGCGAGTGTAATATGAGCTTCAGACTTTGTCAGGAGCACCTGGCATGGACTCTACCTCGCAAATGAGGCGCCTGCGTAGGCTGATGTTCACCAGTTACGCACAAACAGGTGAGTAGCACCTTCCTCGATGGATACTCCTCTCTAGCAGAAGCTCTATGGCACATGTACCCCAACGAATTCTCGCCTGTTGAGGTACACTAAGGTGGTTAAAGGCGGCTGTTAATTGAAGCCTATGTCGAATCATATGTTCTTTCTGGCTCAGGTAGATATTCGATGAAGAAGTGTGGAGTCCATTATACAACGAATTACAGGCCCACGGTTCGATATTCGATGCGGGGTTTCCCCGCATCCGGGGTCAAAGTCTAGTCTGGTTGATGGCGTCCCATGCTGCGCATATCCTTGAATGCCCACCCATCCCATATTCAGTATCACATTCACCGTCTTGTGAAGAGGTCTAAACCCCAACAATATGAAAGCCATACGAAGGGCGAAGCCACGGAGGGTCCCGTGTCCCTCGTGCCCCAAATCGTTCACTCGTACAGAGCACCTACAGAGACATCTTGGATCCCGTACGTGGGTAATTGAGAATGGATATATTGCGTCATTTGTTTACTAACAGCGCATTCAGACGGCGTAGGGAAAGCTGTAAGATGCCCCGAATGTGGAAAGGAGTTCATGCGCAAGTACGTGGCTACTAAATTAATACATAGCCGGTTCACAGCAACTAATGAGACTCTACTGAAGGGATGTGATGAAACGCCACCTCGCCAAATGCCAACTCAAACCGCGGACAATGTCTATGGGAGAAGCAGGAACTACCACGACTGGTGCCCCTGTACCTGACAGACAGGCAATCATGCCAAATATGGATGGCACGGATACTTCTTCCCAGGTACACTAAATGGAATCAATAATCTACCAACTAGGAAACATAGCCGAAGGTCTGAGGGGAGCCACCCACAGTTGATAGCCCAGGAAAATGACCCTGAAGGAACGGAAGCCAGTCAGTCATGTATTCTTCCTGACAATTCCTTGGCTGAGCTCCGGTGGAGTGATAGCCAGTTCGAAGACATACAATTGCTGCTTGACCCGATGCTGTTTGATCGAGTGGAGCACAACCACTGCCTGCAATTGCCGTCTGCTATTGGTGTTCCATGCATTGACATTGATCCGGCTGACACATTCAGTTTCCTCGCCCGAATTTCCAGCCAGGAGAGTGCTTCGCTGCAGAGTCGTTATGACTGTGGCGCATTACTAAGGAAAGGGTGGGAAGGATCCAGGGTGACCGATGGTACTGCTGGGAGACAGGGAGCACTACCACCGACAGATCTTCCCTGTTCTCTCACTGATCCCTCGTCTAGCGGTATGTTTCACTATTCTTTTGTCCTTCTCAATAGTAGCATCACAGTCAAAGATTATTTTTTTGCCCCCTGTATCTAACAATTCTGCAGGTGCCGCCTGCGAGTCGTGGTACCACGCATGGCTGTCTTCTGCGCAGGCCCCTTTGTCTTCACAACCAGCATACCAAATCGTGCATCAAATCCGAAACCTTTCCCAGCACTCCAGAATTATGCATACATGGTCTCCACAACTCGAGAAGGACTGTATTCGCTTCTTCAGTCCCAAGAACATCGAGAGATTCATCAAGGTTTACTGGACAGCGTGGCACCCTCATTACCCAGTTATTCACAAGGCAACATTTTCCATCAGCAGTGCCCCCGCGCACCTTACAGCGGCCATGGCCGTCATGGGGGCATGTTTCTCGCAAAACACAAACGATAATCACAGTGCGAAGCTATGGCTCAATGGTGTGGAAGAGATGGTCTTCACTAACAAATATTTTGGAGACCTTATGCTGCAGGATCCGGCCACCGTGAACATTCGTGATGTCGTACAGCTCCTCCAGGCAGCATATTGTGTCTGTACTTTCCAAATCACCGAAGGAAGTCACATTAGCCGGCGGAGGACTCGGCGTCAACGTTTTAGTATGCTCGTTTCAGTAAGAAGTTGTCTTAGGCTCTCGTGTCTCAGTCACTAACTCAGGGTAGCTCGCTAGAGACTTGAACCTCTTCAGTATCACACACAGAAATCTTGACTCGGTACGGGGAGGTGACTTCTGTTGGGACACTTTTATTGCAACCGAGGAATGCATTCGGTAGGTGCAAGCAAGGGGCAACCTGCTCGTACAGCCTGCTAACCTCATGAATAGCACTATGTTATTCATATATATACATGACACTGGGTTTGCAATCTTCAGCAATTACCCACCCCGCATGAGAATCCAAGAAATGTCATTGAGCATGGCATGCCCTGAGGCTTGCTTCCAAGCGCAGACCGCAGCAGAGTGCCTCACGGCGATTCGAACGTGGACGGGACATCAACTATGGGGTTGCAGAAGGACAATGCGTGAGATTGTGCAGGTCATGTTCTGTAGAGATATTAACCTCGATATACGCGAGTACATCTCCCACCTGGGAATACTGAACCTTTGGATTGTGTGCTCCGGTAAGAACACTGCCGGGGTCAATAACTAGATGTGGCCCATACGGCCTCCCAGAAGTCCTTCGACTCAGTTCTTGCCCAACGTATATAAGCACCTGCTGACTATAATCTATGCAGCACTTTGTGCCGAGGCATTTCAGATCAACTCACTTATCAGCGTCGACACACAACTCCAGCCTATACGGAGAGCGATCCACAACTGGAAACTAGCCTGGAACCAGCGATTCACGATTCACGATAGTTTTGGCTTACCAAAGGAGGAGGATAATATCTTGGTCAGTAATGAGGACGATTGGCGACGCTTGGGCTTTTTCCAGAATGCTTCCGAATATTGGTTACTGCTAAACATCCTCATTCGAAGGATTGACGAACAGCAGCAAGCCCGACATGATCAGTCGGTTCAATCCGATGTTGAACTCGCTGCCCTGGCTATTGACAGGCCATATACGCCGTCGAGATGTGATTCACCCCCAATGGCAGATCTGAAGCATCTTATATCAGAACATCATCGACAATTCAAGCCGTATGCATGACTCCGGGACAGTGTTCATGACCTTGAGTAGCGTTGGGACGCTACGCCTCAAGCCGTAATCTTCGTGTTGTCCTTGTCAGGGCTAATGAATGTGTCAATCATGTAATAAGTCCCTTCGTAATAGTATATATGATAACATGTACAAGTTAATCAATATACCCAGAAGCAAGGCCCTAGTCACGGAAGATTTGGATAAGGTGTGGATATCCTCACGTGGGGACACTTGTCGCTTTGCGATGCGCTTTGTCGGCCGACCTTTGCCATCCTATGCATTTGCCGTATAATTATAGCAATACTGTTGATCAGCAATCCAATATTATGGGGTTGTTTTGTTCGGCCATCGCGTGTGTCCCCATCCGCCACATTTCTATTACCCCACAAACTCATGGAGTGACATCGACAGATGGCAGACTGCCTCGGCAGCTAGGAGCCCATGACCCAATTTATGCGACGCTATGAACAATGCTTCTCTCTTTTATATTGGGGAATCTCTCTAATGGCATTCCTGTAACACCGTCATAGGTGATATTCTTGCTCCTCTACCATTTTCGGTCGGCATCAGACCACCACAGCTGTCTATACGATGGACTCTACCACTAAACCCTTCCCCCTATTACCCGAGGGGTCGAGAATTCATGTCATAGTTGTTGGAGCCGGTGAAGCCCCCTACGCGCTGCCATCTTCAGTGTTACTAAGATCATTGAAATAGGGTTCGCGGGTCTCGGCACTGCGATAGAATGCCGTCGTCGGGGACTTTCTGTCACAGTTTATGAGCGGTTCCCCGAACTAAAGCCACTTGGTGATATAATCTCGTTCGGGTCCAATGGGGGCCGGATCTTTGCACGCTGGGGCTCGGTGGTCGACCGCATGCTACCTGTTAGCATCAAGCTCCAGGACTACGGGTTTCGCATTCACAAGTACACGGGAGAGCACGTCCATACGCAAGACTCCTTGCCCCTTGATCGACAGGCTCCCACGATCAATGGACATCGGGGAGAGCTGCACCAGATTCTATTCAACTATGCTCGAAATGACCTTAACATTCCCATTAATCTCGGCTGTGAGGTTACCGGGTACTTTGAGAGCGCCAGTGGCGCAGGGATCCAGCTCGCATCAGGAGACAAAGTGCACATGTACCATGATCCGTGCAGTGCCGTCCACTAACAGATGCTAGGTCTATGGAGATGTTGTCATCGGCTCCGATGGTGTCCGCTCTCAAGCTCGATCTTTAGTTCTAGGACGTGAGACACGCGTCCAATCTAGCGGCTATGCGATCTATCGCGCCTGGTCTGTCACCCATTCGAATCATCTGGCCACATGATGCTGAGTGTCTGTAAGGTTTTCAAACGAGGATATCCTGGCCGATCCACTGACTCGACATCTCTCCGAAAATGGCGATACGTTCAATGGCTGGATTGGTCCGGATGTGCATCTACTGGTTTCAACGTTGAAAGGGGGGAAGGACGTCTGTTGGGTACTCACGCATAAGGTGGGTGCCAGATAAGCCCCGACGATCGTGAGCTATGTCGTGGCCAAACTAATCCTGAGAAAACGTCTGGATTCGTAGGATGCATCTGATATCAGCGATCGCTGGTCCTTTCCGGGTAAGCTTACGGATGTCTATAAGGTCTTAGAGGGCTGGGACCCGGTCTGCCACCGGATCATTTCGAAAACCCCCGAGTCAGCCCTGATCGATTGGAAGCTCATCTGGCAAGACCCCTTGCCGACCTGGGTTAGCAAAGACGGGCATATTGCCCTTGCTGGAGATTCCGCTCATGCATTCCTCCCGACATCCGCTCAGGGAGCAACCCAGGCGCTAGAGGACGGTGTCACGATCGCCATCTGTCTGAGCCGGGCTGGCAAATATAGGATTCCCGATGCTCTCCATGCCTTCGAAAAGATTCGGTGAGGCCCAAACCCCCAGGCTACACATGGGCCCCCTCTGATTCAGCAATACAGGTACGATCGTGTACGCAAGGTGCAGGAAACAGGTAAAACTACTCGAGATAAATGGCACAATGCAAGCTGGGATAACGTAAAACGCGATCCCAAGGCCATAGAACTTCCACGAGAAGACTGGATATTGAACCATGATGCCGAGCAGCATGCCAACAATATGTGTGATCAAATCTTCGGTGCCATCAGGGGTGAAAGTAGATTATGAGGGAGCTGTTCGGATTCGGATTAAGATAGCTCTGTGTATCATGTAGTGGCGAGAATAGTCTCTTATAGCCAAATACAAGTCCCCATCTCAGAATCCTTCCCAAACACTTTACATTGAATCCCAGTATTTACCGCCCACTACGAAAAGCTATCACTCATACAGCACATCTTATTATATTGGGGGTACAGGTACGTCCAGGTGCACTTGCATGTGCACGAATAGATGCAACCGAGTCAAATCCAGTCCGACTCCTCGGCGTCAAATCAATGGGCGACTCTAGCTTTGTATCCAGCATGGCCTGAGAGGTGCACAGTGTGAATGTGATCTGTACAACTTCGAATAGACCGACAATGCAGGTGGGGTATCGGGCAGATTGTTCCCCACAAGAATCATGATGTCCATTCGTGTGGGGGAAGCTTTAACCTTCTAGGTTTAGTGACAACCGAGTAGGGCAGTAGAGCAGGAGTTTCAGTTGGTTTTCGGGTTTCATGAAGTGTTTTCTAGGTCCAGGCTGACGCATTGGACTGGCGAAGCACTTGGGTCAAATGTCCCAGCGACAACCTTATATGAACACTACGCCAGCTGCTTTCGTGCGTTCTCTTTTGCATCCAAATATCAAGGCCTCCCTCTGATCATTTCACCCACGCATATTTGAGGCCAGGGCATACCATCATGGCGTTTGGAATGCTAGAATGCAAGGATGGTGAATCACCTCCTGGAACAGGTGACTACGCTTCTTTGACGTCTCCCTCTGCTGCTTAGTGCTGATAACAGCAGTGATTCTCAGTCAACAGTCATTCGTGGAAAGTAGCAGCGATGCTTCCTCTTCCTCGGCGAAGGGCCACCATCAACGTCGTGGAATTGTCTTGGTACATTCCTAGCAACGCATTTCCCGTTTGTAACCTAAGCTTACAATACGAGGCAGGTTCCTCAACCTTCAGACTCTCCAAATGACCCTTTAAATGTAGGTTCGGTGCCGTCGTTCCATCTATATATCAACATACTAACATGGATCAACTATTCAGTGGCCACAGTGGTAATGGACAACCCTTTTTCCCATGGTACTCGGAATACATATTGATGCTCAGCCATTGTGTTGCAGGAGAAAGGATTTCATCTTGCTCATTATCAGTCTCCTATCCGCGATTGTAGGAGCATATGGACCCATGTTAGGGCCTGGGTTTGTCGAAATCTCTGCTGAGCTTGATGTGAGCGTGAATGAAATATCACAAGCTACCTCCTACCTGGTGCTGGCGATCGGGATTGCTCTTCTGTTCAGCAACCCGCTGGCCAAGTGTTATGGGAAACGGCCTGTGTATCTAGTCTCTGGGCTATTGCTCTTCGCATCAAGCATCGGGGCTGCCCTGACACATGACTATAACTCGTTCCTTGCCTGCCGGCTGGTGGGAGGCTTGGGAATGGGTCCATTTGAGGTTAGTACACGTCCTGCTTTACGTGGTAAATCACGTCGCTGGGAATTTGTCCTTTGCTTCGGGGCTATCGCAAGGCCTCACTCATTCCTACTTACACCTTGTAGGTTCTTGTGCAATGTACGATAGGAGACTTGTATTTCGTACATGAACGCGCCTCACGCATAGCTTTCTGGAACCTGTTCCTGGTGAGCGGGATCTCAGCAGGCCCGATTGTGAGTGCGTATATTATCCAGTATGCCGGGTATCGCTGGACGTTTGGCGTATGCGCCATTTTTTACGGCGTCCTGACCATCGCTCTCTTCTTTCTTGCCCCGGAAACTGCATATATCCGCGTGGTTAGCCCTCCTCACTCCTCGAATGAGGCCTCGAGTATGGAGCAGCAGGACACGTATGCCGTGTCAGGCAAGGACGCCCCTCAGGCGGGCTCTGAGAGGCTACACGATATTGAAAAGGAACCCGAAGGTCAACATGATCCACCGGAGACAAGCCACTCTCCGCGAATCACGCAGCGAAAGGATTCCTATTGGAGGTCCCTCCGAGTGTACACGGGCAGATACTCTAATGCCTCACTCGTGAAGGTCATTAGCCGTCCGTTTATCTTGTAAGCACCCACTGTTACCTTGACTCCTCTACCATCGACTAAGCGCAGTAGGTTTCTCTATCCTGGCATCCTTTGGGCATTCCTAACCTGGGGTACAACAATCACGTTCACCATTGCTTTTAGCTACGTCAACGGGGTGATTTTCAACGAATCTCCATACAACTTTACCACTTCACAGATTGGCCTCATCAACATTTCACCATTAGTCCTCAGCGTTGTGTCCGAGATCATCTCGGGGCCCCTGTGCGATAGAATCTGTTTGTACCTGACGAAGAGAAACAATGGGTACTACGAACCCGAATTTCGGCTGGTCCTGATGCTTGTGGGTTTCGTCCTTGGTGTAGCTGGGTTCTATGGGTTTGGGGCTACTGTGCACTACAAGACACATTGGACGGGGCCCGTTATCACATACGGGCTGGTCAATGCCTCCCTCGCATTTTGCTCGACATGTGTCTTCGGATACATCATTGACGCCTACACTGCCCTGGGTGAGGAGGCCTTCGTGGCCGTCAACTCTCGTAACTTCCTCAGTTTCGGAATCCTCTATGTGATCAATGAATGGCTCGCACAAGACGGAACACTAAAAGTGTTTGTCGTCCTAGGCAGCCTTTTTATCTTCACCAGTCTTCTCACCATACCAATTTGGTAAGTCCAACCTTCAAGAGGGCCCTTTCAACGTTAACAAGCTTGAATATCTAGGGTCTTCGGAAAGAGATTCAGGGCAAGGATTGACAAGATTGTCTGGTTGAAGAACTACATGCGGGACTCTTAAACATGGCTCGACGTGGTTTTTACAGTTCTACAACTGCGATATGTCAACGCGTGACACTTTTCTGTTTTTCGTTATCTCCCTGTGGTCTTTTTCTCAGTAACTCCCTTGCCTTTGACCTTCAATGCTACAGCTACTCCTCCAGTAAGCAACAGTATAACTGTCCATGGTCTTTATGGTGTCAGATGCCATTTTATATTACCTAAGATGGAAGCTCTCCCGTAAATAGTTATCTGGTCGAAGAGATTATATAACACGCAGCGAGTATATACCTAGTCGGTAAAAGGCAAGTCAAAACAGGGGCCAGTACTCTGTCGGCCAGTGGAGGGCTTATCGGGCCGGGACATCTCTCGCCATAGCTGCCCGGTCAGCGCTTCGTGATCGAGAATACCGGCAGCCGTACTGTGCCGTCGCGTGCGATCTGGTTGCTGTTCACCATCTGTGAGCGCCGAGTCTGGCGTTGGGGGCGAGGGGGTCTCCTCCAGCATCTGTTGCTGTTGTTGCTCCAATAGAGCCGCAGCGACGCGTTCCTTCCACGTCTTCTCTTCTGTCTCCTTCGCAAGAACTGCATAGTGCGCCCGCCGGTACACCCCGACAGAGCTTAAAGTGAGGGCGATCAATTCATACGCAAAGAGAACTGGCAATGCGTAATCGAGCTGCGGGTTGCAGCCACCGGACCAGATGTCTACCAGCACCTGAAAGATGCTGTGTGCTGGCAATGCATAACCCCACTGATAGAACCCTGGGGATAGTTCGAAAGGCAGCAGGATCGAAGTGATATTCAAAATGATCCATGAGATGAGTGCCATCGGCACACCTGGTGGCGGGAGCCAGATGGTGAAGACATCGAGGACGAGAAAGTTGCAGTGGGCAAACAGCCACAAGGCCATCCAGGTCAACACGAACTGAACACCATTGACACGCCATCCATGGCGAAAAGCCCAGATCGCGCCAGTTGTACAGAGCGATCCAGACAATGTGTATAACCCTGATATGAGCTGGCGGACGGTGGCAATTCGAGGCGCTGCTATGGAGACATAGAGCTGAAACTGCTGGTAGAGGCCATTGATGTAACCCAGGAAAAAGAATTCCTGTATGAGAATTAAAATAATCACCAAGGTATTGTAGATGAGCCGGGAGCCTTGAGTGGTGGGCTGGATGTTGATTGAGGCCAACGTCCAGGGGTTGGCGAATGCCGCGATGGCGGCGGGATCCGTGCCATTCAGGTCCCTAAGCGCCTGCATACCATTTGCTTTGGAGTAGGCCACTCGCGCAGCTTCCGACAGGGATTGCATATTAGCCGCAATGGCAGAATCCGCCGTGGTGGGGTACCGCGCTTCATTCCAGACGAGAGTGAGAATGTCGCTGTTGTTGTAGGAGGCTGCCGCGGAACCTCCTCCAAATGCGGCCGCCAGGCGATTCGATGCATTCGCAGACGTGTACAACCCGCCCCAGTAATCAATATGACACACGGCAGATCTCACAGTGCTCGGCTGGGGATAGGCCAACACCGATTGCTCACTCAACGTGGGGAAACCTGGGCCCTTCAGCTGCTCATACGCGGTACGTACCGCGCTTCCCACCGCTCCACCATCATAGTCGACAAAGACGACATGTAGGTTATGAATATGCGTAGTTTGCTGGAAAAGGGAGCCGAACAGGTAGCAGAAGAGACCGAGAAAGAGGAGTTGCAGTACTATGAAGTTCAGACCCGCTGCCTTGAGCAATCCCAATCGACGCCGGCGAACAAATGGGTCGTGGATGCTGGGATGCGGTTGATGGCGCGCTTTGGGGTAGAAATGCATCGTTCAGGGGGTCTTACTCTTTAGCCTGAACTTAATGCTGCGCTAGGACCCTTCGTGTAATGCAATTGACTGTGGCCTGAGACCGTTCTTCGATCGTCATGTAACGTTCTGCTCCCTTCGCCATCCGACGTATATATATCTCTTGTGAGTTGAACCGAGAGTGTCGGACGAGGCCGAACATGGTTTCTCAATCACACTCGCACGTGACGGTGGATACGAGAAGACTTTCTGAGTCCATCCGATATGGAGACCAGCTGGGTTGCATGATCGCCCTGGTTGGACATCTGCGACTGGTGTCTCGATCTGCTAAGCTGCTCGTCAGCATGAGATAATGATCTTATCTCTGGCGATCGTTGTCCACACCGGTCAGGTGACTCCGGCCGTGGCTGAGTCAGCCGTCGCGCTTTGCGCCCTGCAGATTCAGGCATTCGTCATACTACTTACTTTCCTTGCCGGACTTCCCCATCTCAAAGAAAACTGTCTGCGCCAACCGTGAAGATGCGCCTCTCCCTCATACATGTCCTGGTTTGCACATCGGACACGACTTCGAGAATTGACGCTTTACTTTTGCACATGTGATGTCCCCGTTGACCAGCTCTGCTGATCTGCATCCGGAGGTAACGTTGAGCTTCCCTAGAAAGCGACCGAGCGGCTCCACTGGAGTCCACTCCATATCTCCAGCTGATATATTTTCCGAATCCCTGCACTGATACCAGATCATGATAAATAGGCCTCACGTCCCTCTGCCCTCCCCGGCTCCAATAATGACCTTCTCCTTCCCATCACGAGTCCTGGTGATGGCGAACGAGAGCCATTCCTCGACGGCCTCCACCCGAGGCAGCCGGGTTTCGTCGCAGTAGTAATCGAACATCTAACCGACAGATGGCGGCAAACACGGCAATTTGTGACATCGGAGGAAGGGATCGGGGTCCTCAAATGTGGTCTGGCATACCTCCTCGGGTCCCTGGCCACGTTCATCCCCGCGGTTGCGGCATTGCTAGGTCCTCAGGAAGGAAAGCATATCGTCGCCACCATCACGGTGTACTTCCACCCCGCGCGGTCGAAAGGCAGCATGTATAAAGCCCTGATATGCGCCGCGCTCGCATTTATCTATGCCGCATTCATCTCGCTCACAAGCATGTACGTCACCATATACTTTAACCAACAGCGCATGATCGAACTGGGCCATGTCCTGGTTTTGATCATTTTTGTCGGCCTTGGGTTCGGCTTTCTAGCGTGGACAAAGCAAAGGATGAGTGACCCGCTAGTCAACGTGGCCTGCTCGCTCGCATCGCTGGCACTGATTGTAGTTCTCACCAAAGAAGGAGCCATCCAGCGGGGTAGTGTGTCGCTCGCAAAGGTGTCGCAGGTCCTGAAGATGCTCCTCATGGGGATTGGTGCGACGATGACGGTATCGTTTCTGGTCTTCCCGGTCTCTGCACAGAAGAAACTCCGCTCGAACCTGGCCGTGGCCACTAGGTCAATGGCGATCATGCAATCTACCATCACCGAGGGATTCCTCCGCAGGACAGCACACGAGTTCCAAGGATTCGATTATACCGGTGCGGCTACGCGTCTGAAGAAGGCCCATGGGGAGCTGGACAAGCTGCTATATGAGACAAAGTTGGAGCAGTACGTAGCAGGCTGGGAGAGAGTACACGATCATGAGGCAAAGCTGGTTCACTGGGCACATGGCATCGTGCATACTACGGGTGCTCTGCACAGCTCGGCACTTTTAGCTTTGGAGACCCTTAAGCGACCGAAGTTCGCCGATCATCCTCTTGGTGGTCGAACTGCGAATGCGCCCGCGGCTACGTGGAACGACCAGCAAAGCACGATATCCGCTGCCGATGCTGCCACACTACAGCCGGTGGACCTGGTGATGTTGGAAACGAATGCGCCAGGCAACGGTCAACCAGTCTCAGGACAACTAGGTCGAATTAGCAACCAGCGAGTCTCGGATAGCTTCTTAGTGACGGAACTTTTCGATTCTTTTGTTGACCGACTGGGTCCGTCTGTGGTATTTTGCCCTGGTTTACTACTATTTGTATTTCCCAAGTTCTGTCTTTACTAACCTGTGACAGCGATCGCTAACTCTTACTTTAACGAATATATGCGCGGAAATCCCGTTGGGACTATCGCTTGACGACAGGGTTGCTCTGAGCCCCAACTCCGCTGCCATCCTAAGCCAAGCGATTGACGAGTATCGTGCGGCCCAGAGGGATGCATTTGGGTTGCTGTACCGAGAGAAGCAGGATATGCCGAATGGCACACTCGAGAAGGAAGCATGCTTCAAAGAGGTAGCCGCTATCTGCGCGCATTTCAGCTACTCGCTACTGAAATTCGGGGAACAATTGGGAGAGTTGTTGACGATTCTCACGGACTTGGAAGTTGCCACGGCTGGGTACCACAGAAAGAAATCGTGGAGTTGGATCAAGTTCTGGCGACGAGGTGTATCTAGAAGTCGGAATATGGAGCATCCGAATGCTGGTGAGTACCACAAATCAGGCGTCATCTGGCTTGGCATATTCATAAATACTGATCAGGCGCAGGTCCCAGACTTTCCCTGACCGAAGTCGCTCCGGTCGATCACACGGAGATACACGGAGCATCCAGCCTCGAGAGACCATCCCGGTTACATTCAGTTGGAGATACAATTAGCCGTCATGTCTGGAAAGCATTGCGCTTCTACCGACAAGACGAAACTATATTCGCTTTCAAGGTCGGTGTTGGCGCTGCACTCTTTGCCTTGCCTTCATTTCTCTCTTTCACACGGCCCATCTATCTTTACTGGAAGGGGGAATGGGGCTTGGTGTCGTACATGTTAGTCTGTTCGATGACAATCGGGGCATCGAACACTACTGGATATGCTAGATTTTTGGGAACGTGCATTGGAGCACTCTGTTCCATTCTCGTCTGGTCGATTGCAGGCAGCAATGCCTTTGGACTGGCACTTTTGGGGTTCATCATGGCCACATGTACCTTCTACATCAGTCTGCTCAAAGGCCAGGGCCCGTTGGGTCGATTTATAATGCTGACCTATAACCTTTCCGTGCTCTATTCGTTCTCGTTATCCCAAAGCAGCGCCGACGAGGATCCCGATGAGAGAAGTGGTAACAATCCGGATATCACCAAAATCACCCTTCACCGAGTTGCAGCAGTCCTCTCCGGCTGTATCTGGGGTATTATTGTCACTCGAGGTGTTTGGCCGATTAGTGCTCGGAAGAAGCTCAGGACCACTTTGAAGCTGATTTGGCTCCGATTAGGTCGCATCTGGGAATCAGACCCCCTGACTAGAAGAACCACGAATCCGGCGGTTGCTGCTTTCTATATGACGCCCGAGGACCGACTCAAAATGCAGGGTATGCTGGCGGATTTAGAGACTCTTCGCGTTGCAGCCCGGTACGAGATCGAACTGAACTCCCCCTTCCCCGACACCGCATATGGCAAGATGATCCAACACACTCAATCCATCGTGGACGATCTCCATGCCTTGGATTTGCAACTGCAAGGTATCCCTCCTACAGAGACACAACTGTCTTTGCTACGGTACACGTCGAGAGAGAGACAGACTCTGTCCGGGCAGATCGGTCATCTTCTGGGAGGTAAGTTCATCCGTCCTTCAATGCAGTGTACCTTGCAGCAGACGAGACATTATTGACGCCAAATCTCAGTCATCGCTTCGTCAATCACGCACGCATGCCGACCGAACCATATCGACCTTTCCAAGGCAAAGCATTCACGTGACCGGCTTCTGGCCACGATTTTCCTATATCGCACTGGGGACGAAACGTCTTCATCGGCGCTTGCAGAGACATACAGCCTGTTGTATGCCTATGGTAAGTTCTGCCACCGTCGATCTTGCCATCCATCGCGTAGCTGATGCGTGGTCCAGTTCTTGTTATCGATCAGATCGTTAGCAGGATGACGGAGATTCTGACCGATGTCAGCCGCATGTCGAATGTCATCGAGGAAGGTGTAGTAGATTAGAGGCGCCGCTACTATTTTGGGCAAGCTGTGGCAATGTCAACACCTCAGATGCATGGATGCTAGGCAGTGGCCGACAATTGACTGATCGCCTGGTCGCAGGCCCACCCTACCAAGATGTTGACTCAAACAATGTCGATATTCTACTCATCACCCCCATCACCATTTTTAACATTGAATTAAAACCGTTCATGTGCGGAAGCGAGTTAGGATCTCGTCTGCGGTCTCTGCCGAGAAACACATCGTTCAAATCCAATCAATACTAAGTCCAAATTCCCCACACTTTGAACTGTCAATTTTATGAATCCCAAATACATCTATTCCGATCTCCGTGGGCTTTACCGGCCAACACCAAAACTAACACGCCCTTCCCAGCCCCTATTCAAAGCGGCAAACCTACCGTCATGTAGTACTAGCCTCACTGGCAAGTACCAGAGCCGCCATTCGTATCCACCCTCCACCCTTCCGCCGGTGTAATGTATCTATAGTCGGAAAGGGGGAGCGGACGGGAGTGCTGTAGTTAGATATAGGAGAATCATTCTGTCTCTTGGATTCACGCGCTTGCAGCTTCCGGACAACGACCCCCTCTTGCGTCAAATTGACTCAATACCTTTACCCTGCAATGTCAGAATACACTGCCACTGAACTTGTAGTTATTCATCTGTTAGACCGTTCTGAACCTTTATTGGTTAGCTACACGCTGCAGCAGCGCTAAGTTAGAACTGTATTGCTCTCTTATATTTCATAACACACACCACCAAGATCACTAGGACATGCCTATGTTCTTCTTCCTCTCCCAGTGCACCCTCAGAGGCTTCTAATGACCGGTAAGTCGGATGCCAAATGTTGCTATCTTTCAGGACAGCATATGAGTTGGGTGATAGGGTGTATGGTCCAAATCATCCCTAGATCTCTACAGTCTCTCTCTCATCTGCACCCTTTTCGACCCGTCATCTGCAAAAGACAAGTCAAAACGCGCAATCAGCTAAGATAATGACACATATTAGCTAGAAAGCTCTCCCAATAGACAGTCATCACCAGTCAATGACATAGATAACTGACCTCAAATGTGAGTTTGTAAATCTCCATCACAGAAAGATGTTTGCCAGTGCACAATCGATTCCCGTACCCCCAGTGAAACTCATAGCGATCCCACTCCCTCAACCTCTCCCGTGAAGCTTCTAACCACCTTTCCGGCCGATACACAGCAGCATCGTCCCCGTATAGCACTGTGCTTTTCATCGTGATCCATGGACTAGATGCCACCGCCGTCCCTTCTGGGATATAGATCCCCTTGTACGTGAGTCCGCCGTTTGGTGCTTTGCGGGGGAATAATGGAATGGTTGGAGTTAAGCGAAACGATTCTCTGATACAGGCATGGGTGTAGGGAAGGGCATACGCTTGTTCAAAGGGAATGGGACGGGATGTTTGGGTTGATCTGACTTGGTCGATTTCATGTTGGAGCTTG